AAGGTGCGAAGCAATACGTCTTAGAAGAAAAAAGAAAAAGTTATATCAAATATTTAGATTTTGATAGTTCAAATGCAATCCTTAATTAAATTTTTAATATTATTACATCTATGCGAATGGTGTATTAGTAAAAGGTTGTTGGACATTCTTACATATGAATCGATAATAAATTTTAATTGCGCTATTGTTATCAACCAAAGTCCTTGACCGAATCGCCTTATCGATTTCAATTCATGATTACTTAATTAGAGAAAAGAAGTAAAAGATAAAGAGCAAGATAGTTGAAGAAAGATAAACTGTGAAAAATGGCATGAACCATATTCGCTTGGAGAGGAACGTTAACCTGCCGTAATATTCTCTTTTATCCCCTCCTCTCCTCCTCCCACTCGCTTAAAATCCTCTTCTTCACTCTCTCTCTTTCTCTCTCCCTACCTCCCTCCCTTCCTCTCTCTCTCTCTCTCTCTCTCTCTCTCTCTCTATCTATCCCTTTCTCAACATCATCGTAGCTCGGAAACGAAGCGTATCGTGCTCCGTGAATACGCGCCTTTATCGTTTTTGCTTGACATTCTACTCCATCTACGGCGTACCAAGAGAGCTCGATAATTAACTGCGAACAAGTCGAATCATTAAAGATACATCGAGCAGCCGTAAAAGTAGAGAGAAGCTAACTGCTCTCGAAGTATCTTCAAAATACGATGGATCGATTGATTTTGATGACACTCATTTTAACATTTAAGTGAGAGATAAAAAAGAAAAAACGATGAACTGATAAAAACAAATAATAATAACAATAAAAAAAGAGAAAATGTAGAGAAAGAAGGTTAAAAAAAAAAAAAAAAAAAAAAATAAATAAAACAAAAGAATCGGAGAAAGAATTGAAACGTCATTTTGCGAGCAATCATCGAGCTGCCAGCCAGTGGAGTGAGAGTAAAGGAGAGAAAGAGAGAGAGAAAGAGAAAGAGAGAGAGTGAGAGAGAGAGAGAGAGAGAGAGATCCAGTCAGTGCAGATCCCCGACAGATAAATTAGCAATTTAATTATAGAACTGTCAGGCGGTAATTAAATTAATAACGAGAAACCTCGAATCCAATCCGATCCGTCCTGGCAACCTTTCGCGCGCGTTCACTCTCGAGAGGTAGGTAGAGTAGAGTAGTAGTCCATGCGTGGATATGAATGTAGAAACTTGGAGGGAACCAGCCGGCTACGGGTCGTTTCAAAAGTATGTCCATGCCAACCTGTTACACCCGATGATGGCTAGCACTGAGATTAAAACGACAATGAGATGTTGAGCTCCTTCTTCTGTCGTTTCCTTTTCTCTTTTCTTTCTCTTTTGTCTACCTTTCCTTTTTCCTTTTTTCTTCACAGAATACTCTCGCCTCTGTCCGCCAAGGAGGACGGACGATAATCTCGCGATCGAATATGGCGATACGAACGTTCGACGGAGTTACGATCGTCGAGGGAGAGAAAAATCATCGAGTGAGCCCCTTGAGTTAACGCTAATTGCGTATTTGAGATTTCAGGCTCGGAGGGATACGAGTTTCGTGCACGTATTCACTTAGGCGATAATAAATTATGGGGTTAATGGATACGCTCCAGGGTTGGGTTGGAAGTAGCGCGTCGAGCGTGTATGTGTGTGGGTGATAAAGACTCTCGTTTAAACTTTTTCACCGTAATTTTTGTGGAGTTTTATTGACGGTACTAAAGCTATAGTTAGGTACGTGAAGTATATAGACCGATCGAAAAAATTAATAAAAAGAAAGAAAAAAAATGATACTGCGATTTAATTATCCCTTAAAAGAGGACAATTATTATAACTAATTAGTTTGTCTGAGTTTTCAATTGATATCATGAGTAAAAATGAATACCCCTAGGAAAGGATTTACCAAGAAAGAAAGAAAAAAAAAAGAAAAAAAGGAAGAAAGAAAAAGATATGATTTCAGATGAACTTCGTTAGATCTAACGATAAAAACCTGCTAATGATTGCAATATAATAGATACCTCCTTGAAAAACAAAGATTCTTTAGGACATTCCAATAGGCACACCTATACAACGTCTTTATAACGATTAGGAATATTTGGAATAATGGTTTTTGTTAACATAGAAAACTAAAAAATGTGTTTCTTTATCCAAATGAAAAGTAGTAGATGTTCAAGAGCACGATTGGATTCGAAAACGCGTGCGCTCCCTTCGAATCTTGATTCGACATATCCGCGTATCGTTACATAGCTAATTGCTGCATAAACATCGGGCTTTACGAGGCTTCGCTATGCGCTCGACAACCGCACCGCAAACATTGACTGCCATTAACTTGGACGCGAGTGTGCGTATTGATGCGTTCGTATGGAAAGCTGTGTGTCACCCATGGAAGGCCGAACGTGCGTTTAAGACTACCGGCCGTGTAACAGAACCGCTGAGTAATTAGCGGGAATGTTTCGGAAATTGCTCGAATCTTTTACTCTTATTTTCCTTTGCTCTTATCTCTTATTTTTTACTAACACTCGATACACTGCATTTTAACAACATTTTGATGTACCTTCCAATAGACTTTAGCTATTAGAAATTATTAATAATTGCATCGTTTGTTTTAAGTGTTGCGCTAGTACATTTATCATGAATTTTTATATTTATTTTCAACTAAATTAAACTTAATGAACCGAATTACCAACATCATGTGAAACTTTTTAAACAATATTTTACAATGAAGAAATATTCGCGTACCAATTTTGCTAACATTTTAACATTATTACATAATAAAAATACGATTTAACGATCAACCTTTTGCTTCGACATGACAGGCTGAAAAATCATAGTATCATAGTATAATAATTCAGGGAATTGTGTCCTAAATGTCAAAAAAGATATTTGAACCTTTTTCTCACAATAATAAGCAGATAGAATAATATACAGAATTTTAATTTTAATTATGTAGAAATTAATATCGTCTGCATTAACAAATCTCATTATAAAATGAAATAAAGTATATTCGTAAATAACTTTGTACTTAACCATTGTTCTCAAAACCCCCATGAGATCCTTCAGTCTGTTCTCTCATTAATTAATTAAAGAGAAACGCGCATACCGTATAGTAATATTAATATTAATTGGCTTTATTATTATGATTGAATAATTATGCAGAAAGAGACGTAGCTAAGAGATACATACATGTATCTGATTGACTTTAATAATATTCACCTAACAATTTACTCTAATAAAGAACATTAGAGAACGTTCACGAGTATTTTATGTACTGACACATACGTCACATACATCTTATACTAATTATACATTCACTTCCTGCATACACAATCCTAACATATTCATCCCGTAAACAGACGAACATTATAGATTTATGCAAACACACAGTACCAATTGACAATCCAACTCTACCATTTAAATTAAGAATGACGGTAAATAAACGATTAAAGCATAAGGATTATTGATATTGATGATCATACTGAAGATCATAGTGAAGAATGACTGTTTTACTAAGATCTATTGTTTTTTATTATCGTATGTTCTATTAGAACTCAATATTAAAGGAAAAGAATTATCTCTCTCTCTCTCTCTCTTCTCTTCTCCTCCTCGGCTCCCGTAATACGAAACACGACGATTCAAACGAAAAGGTTTCGTCTGCCCCCTTTATCCAGTCTCGCAATTTACGATATAATGACGAACAGACTGGATTAGCAAATACTCGAAAGCAACAATTATCTCTTCGTAGACACATCGGAAAGTTGCCTTTTCTTTTCATTAAAAATTCTAAAAAGTTTCTAAAATAATCTTTCAAACGATCCATTGAAGGATCAGCGAGGATTTAACGATCGCAATCATTTAAAATAAATCTATTAAATTTTATCCAACTAAAATGAAATGTGAAAATTGATTTTCCGTTTTAGCGCTAACTGTTCTAGTATTAGCGTATAAACGTAGGAAATATATAGAAAACGAAGATAAAGAGAAAGAGAGAAAATGGCTGGGTACTTGTTGGTAGGAGGATAAGAAGAGAACGGAGTCGTTATCTACTCAGGACCGTTACTTCGTACGAGAACCGTGCTGCACGCCGATAGAAACGCGCTGTGCTCTCCAGTCCCGAGTTATCTGGCCAGACTGCCAATTAAAAGGCGCATTTACAACACCTTATTATATCGATGTGCTCGTTTGCCCCGGCGGGAGATAGGACGAGAGGACTGCCAAAGAAAAGATAGAGAGAGAGAGAGAGAGAGAGAGAGAGAAAGAAAGAGAAAGAGAGAGAGAGAGAGAGAAAGAGAGAGAGAGAGAGAGAGAAATGTGGATGGGAGCGAAAAAGAGAACGAAACAAGAACAGTAGAAAGGGACGACCTACGACACGTTTAAGAGCGAGACAGTGAAGGGAGTGATAGAAAAGAGAATGAAAGAAAGAACATGTACATACCCTATGTACATATGTATACATAGGGAATTCTGTATGAGCAATACATTCGTCTCTAGCCTAACCTCATTTAGTTAGAAAGTGTTTGTACGCGGCGAGACTGGCGCAAGATTTAATTGGAAACGCGTCATATTTATCGTCGACTTGCGCTGAGACGGCTCGAAGAACGTCATCCCCGGGGCTCCCTGGTTTGCTCTAATTGGTCGCCCGTTTCCTCGTTCGATTCTACCATCCAGGAGGATTTGTCGACGATAGAACCAAATGTATACGACGATACACAACAATTTTTGGGATCTATTCATCTATCCATGAACATTATTCTGAGAATATATTTGTTAAATCTAATAATCCTTAAAAAAATATATTTTCAATTATTATCAATTCGGATGTGATAAGATCTCAATTTAACATATTTAAACGTAACAAAATTGAACTTTCCTTTTACATACTTGAAAATAATAAAACTGAACTAGTTTAACGTGTTTTAAAACGTCACGATTGACAATTGTAATACTTTATCCAATTACAAGGAAAATAGTTTGTAGATCATAATGATGTTAACAATTTACAATATTGTTTCTTAATTGTTTCAGAATATTTGGCAGTAGCGGTGCTTGTGCAGGTTGTGGTAATCCGATACCTGCCAATGAAATGGTCATGAGGACGAGTGGATCGGTGTTTCACCTAAAGTGTTTCACCTGCAGCAAATGCGGTGGTCAGCTTGTTTCGGGCGACAGGTGAGATTGGAAGCTATTGTTGTTGCTTTATAATTTAAAAATAGGAAATACTACAAATTATCCTGTCCATTAGGTAGAAAAAAAAAAAAGCTAAATGCGATCGTACATTCCAATAATCAAACTATTCGGTTATTCGAGCTAGTATAGAACTAATCCTTTGAATATCCGAACAACATCAATACGCTGTAATCATAATCCCGAATTCTGGATCTATAGGGAGACACTGCCTATGCAGAGTATTTTCTCGTATACAGTACTCATCTATCGTGAATACTGTCATATGATAAAAAGTATATATGATCATATGAAATAGTCATATCATTTATATGTCTTCGTCTAAATGATCTTCAAATTAAAAATGAATCTCTCGTGGTTTTTCAAATGCTTTTGATATTTAATAATTCAGTTTTTGATTAGATTAATTCTACAATTAATCTAAGTACTCTCAAACGTTTGAATTTAAATATCAAAAATTTTTCAATAGAAGAATTCATTATTTTTTCGTAAAAGTAACGTCGATGTTGATTTTCAGGTATTATCTTCTATCAGGTTCACCGGTTTGTGAAACGGACTGGCACAAGATACTGAAATCATCGAGCGTCGCCGCAGCAACTGCGGCAGCAGCAGCAGCAGGAAACGGGGGTGCACCTGTGAGGAAAGGTAAGGTCGGTCGGCCTCGAAGGAGCCGCGAATGAGGCGGCAACCCGGTCGGTCGCCCGAAGAAGGTTCAACCCTCTCCACAAGCGACGCCCGTTGTCGTACCAACGCAGGTCGACGTTGCGGACGTTGCCGTAGGAGGGGATCCCTATTCGCCGCCTCCGCCGGGTCATCAGCACTATCACCATCATCATCACCACCATCATCACGAACATCATCAGATGAGTCTCGTGCATCCGGGTTTGGCGGCTCAGCAAACGACGCACATGCAACAGCCATCGTCCGGCAGCTATCAGGATTGGCCGCCGTGGGCACAGGATCCTTGTGACTGAATAGACCCCTCTGACCTGGTACTCTGCCAGGCCCGTGCCCGCCAAGCGTCTCTCTCTCGAAGATCACGTCCTCCTCTCTCGTTGCAAGAAAATTTCATCAAAAAAGATGACGTGATTCGTGATCGCATCGGGAGAATGTGCGTTGTGCGACGACTGAGAATCAACCATACGTATGTATGCACCGTTCGATCGTCGTGAGTGCGTCAAAAACAAAATTGTATCGGTTGCCATCTTGCTTTTTCGTTCGATCTCTCGAAAAAAAAAAAAAAAAAAAAAATAGAAACGCCAAACTTTCGAGCACGCCCGGAGGACGAGTCGCCGTCGATTTTTTTCTCTTTGCTCAACACGTCTGCTTTCTTATCTTCTTTATTCTCTTTCAATCGATGTTTGGTACGTGTACGAGGCAAAAGGATGCTTTTTCTTTTTCGATCTAAGCTTTCAAATTATGTTCCTCCGAGAAATCGAAACGCACAGAACAGACAGGAGAGAATTCTCAAAGAAAGATGCACGATGAACGTCAATAAAGAAACTTGGACGATTCAAACGAGCGACCCATTTCAGATACCTCGACTCTTAGAAAATTATTTTTCTTTCAAAATTATCAGTCCTTTCGTCTCGCCGAGCAGCACGTTCCGTAAACTCGTTAAGCGTTCCTTGTTCCCGTGATCGTTAATGGTGTCTCTCGCTGCAAGGTGAAACGACGTACCAACGTTAAGACTCTTAAACGATTGAAACCGTCATTTTAATCTTCCTCGATGGTTTCTACGTTGTCTCGCTCTCGTCATTTTTTCTCTCTCTCTCTTTCTCTCTCTCTCTCCCTCCCCTTCCTCTCTCTCTCTCTCTCTCTCTCTCTCTCTCTCTCTCTCTCTCTCTCTCTCTATCTATTTTTGTTTCTTTTATTCATAATAATCGAACGGAACTCATTCGTGTCGCGTGTGAAAAGCATTCAACGAAGATTATCAATTGAATTCATTGAACGAGAAATGCATAAGTGGTACACTACATTCATAGTGGTTATGTAGCCGCCGACAGTTTCTCAAGAAACCGAAGTACGTATCTTCTACGCGTGGTTACATTGGCGATAAGTAGGAACGCTTTCTTTTACAGCCAATTGCTGCCTTCGAATAACGGCTGTGAATGTAGAAAGATGTAAATGTATGATCCCCTTATTCCCTCGTATGAATCCTTGTTCAGGTCTTACATGTATGATGTGTGTCAGAGAAAGAGAGACAAATAGATATAGCGAGAGAGAGAGAGAGAGAGAGAAAAAAAGAGAGCAAAAGAGAGAGAGAGAGAAAGAGAGAGAGAGAGAAGTGAAAAGATGGGGTCACGCATAAAGCAATTGGAAATTTACATCAGCATCGATCTGACACTTGCGAACTTTCGTACATTTCTTCGATCGCTGAGATACAAAAAAGAAACGAACATCATTTTTATTTTCTATTGAAGAGACATCGACAATTTTGTGATCGCGCACATTTTAGAAAGTCGAATTGATCGACGAGGCGCAAGAGCAAGACATGCACTACATCAACAAACTTTTTTCAAGCGACAGGGTTACGATCATCCGCAATAAATGTAACATAAATGTATAATCTTATAACACGTTGCGATATAATCTATAATGCCGCACGTAGCCAATGTCGTTTCTCGAATGTTGGACAGGCTTTTATCCCTTCCACTTCTGTTTTACGTGAAGAACAAGCCAAGGGTAAAGCTAAAGCGACACTGACGACGAGCCAATTCGAAGCTCGATATCGAAACTAAAGACACAAGTTTTTGATGTAAACTGTACCATAATGAAAGGATACAAAAAAAAAAAAACACCTCGATCGTTATACGTTTACTCGTTCCGTTATTAGCGAACTTTTGTCTCAAGAGCTCTGCGTACTTAAAACAAAAAATATTAAGGGCTCGTAGGTAGGACTTTTGAAGAAAGCGACGCGGCAATCTTAGGAATGAAAGACAGGGAGAGAGGGAGATAGATAGATAGATAGAGATAGAGAGAGAGAGAGAGAAAAAACAAAATAAAATAATTGTCCTAAGCGTGAATCTAACGACCGATCTTGAGACCAAGCAATGCACTTTTTTTTCCGTTAGTATGTCATCGGTCGTTGGATCTCAACTTCTAACAACACGACACTCAACAAATTGTTTCGTGAAAAAAAAGAGAGAGAGAGAGAGAGAGTGCGAGAAAAAAAAAATAGAGAGGAAAAAGTGCCGCGCCGATGGGTCGTGTAATTTAATCTTGTACATAGGGTACCATTTTGTATATTGTTAAAAGTTTGTGTGATATAAATGGTTATGTATTTACTATTGACAAAAAAAAAAAAATAAGCGGCGACGGGTCCACCGCGCGAATCCAACGAGCAATCGTCCGCGCGATGACGTGCCATTGATTTTTTTTCTTTTTTTTTTTCTTTTTTTTTTTTTTTTTTATCTTAATGTCGCCAAATGACGTATCTCACGACATATATTTTCTTTTCTTTTTAGTTTTTCTTTTTTTTCCTCTTTCAATTTATTTCTTCTTTCCTTAATTTTCTCTAATCACATTTATCTATTTGAAATGTTATTTCTTACGTTTAATTGTTGTTTCGACGAATCCTACTTTTTCTATTTATCGATAGATATTTAAACGTCCCGCGGATCGATCGTCTGTTTCGCGCGCTTTTTTGACTCGTACGTCCGCGTTTAAAAAGACAGCAATAAGAAAAGGTTCGAAATGGTCCAGTAGAGTCGACATCCTCTCGACTTCTGGAATAAATAATGCTCGAACTGCATCCTCGACTTCTGAAATAAATAATAATAATAATTATTATTATTATTATTATTATGATTATTATTATTATTATTACTGTCATCGATAATGGGCGTTCTTGGATCTCGAGGCAATGTGTGTAAATATAAAGGAAACGTGGGGACGCGCGCCGCAATTTCCAAAAATAAAATGACATTGGAACTTCGACGGGACACGTCCTCGGTTTTTCTTCGGCGAACGCGCGCACAGATCGGCGACGATCTTTGGCGTTTAGTTAATTTTGTTATTTGATTTATCTCGATTTTTTCTTAAAAACCGGGACCGAACATCTTTAATGCGGTTTCGCAAGCCTCTTGTAAAATACTATTACACGGAAAGACTCGGACACACACATACGAACACGTTTATTAATTAATAAAAATACAACTTTTTAGAAAAATGTATGATGTATATTGTTTATTATCATATGTATTACCTCTCTTTTTAACCTTTTATAGGTTTTTTTTTTCAACCTTTACAACGGTGAAATAAAGATAAATCCTACAAATTGATGGCAACAATATCTTCCTAAAGGATTTGATTTGAAAATTTTACTGAGGATAAACAAAAGTCTGTAGTAAAATTTTGATTATTACATTCATTTAATATGATTTATTTTATAATATCTGTAATGTCAACATTATTTTATGTATACTATTTTTCAGAAGTGGAAAATCTTGCTTTGTTTGCTCCATCACATGCACCAAATAGCTATGAAGAATTCGTTCGTTTTGCAACTCATCGTTCAGTAATGCTTCATTTTTAAAAAGCATTTTGTAACGACCGGATTTAACATCTTGAAGCAATTTTACTTTTCGTTGTTTAAACACTAATGACTTCAATTTCTAAAAATAATTATATAAGTATATTAAATTATAATATAAAAATATTATATAAGCATGAAAATTTCATTTTTGCCCTAGTCATTTGATGCTGTTATTAAATCGTCTTATGAAAAAAACAAAAGTAAAAAGAAAATATTTCCATATTGTAACATCAATTCAGGCAACTTTCAAATAAGAAATTACGAGATAAAGAATGTTACTATAGTGATTATTCGTCCTAAAACATTACTTAGGAAGTCATTACGCAATAGTGTACTTTATAAAAAATTATTTTTTCTCTGACAATAAATTTGCAATTCTCTGATTTAACTTACATAACTTTTAAGCATGTCCATTTTCATGATTTCTTGGTTTATGTCAGGAATAATATCTTCAATTTCCTTTAATGCTTGTCTTTTTTCGTCTAATTCTTTTAGCATTTTTTTCATTTCTTCTTCCGATTGTAATATGTTAAATTCTGTTTGTTTTATTTCCTAAAAGCATTAATAAGAAAAAATAGAAATTACTCACTATGACATAATTTTAGTTTAACAAGTACCTTTAAAATTTGTTTGATTTGTAATTTCTGATCTTTAATACGTTTGGAGAACACTATTTTCTGATTTTGTTCCTCTTTAGGATTCTTTTTTAACTTGCTCATAACTTTATTCAAAATAACATCTCTCCTCCCTACACAAAATTCCATATCATTAATTAACTTTTCTTGAGCTCTTTTCAAATGTGAAAGACGCATTTCCATTTTATGAATTTCACTCTTCATTAATGCTATATCACCACCACTACTGTGTTCACTTTTTATTTCTTTTCTTGTTTCTTCCATAATCTGAACCTAAAAAAAAAAAGAAGATATCAAGAGATATCAATAAGTATAGTTTCATTATAGTATATAATACTATGTGAATTACTTTTTTCTCCCAAGACAAACTTTCTCTCTGTGCTGTAATTAATTCTTCATTTAAAACTGCTTTCTCATTTATTAATACTTGTAAATCACTTTGTAATTTTACGAGATCAAACTCTGCATTCTCCAATGATGTTAAATATTCATTCTTTTTGATACAATTTTTATCTTCCAATTCTTCTCTAAGCTCCTTTTGAGCAGAAAGATTTGCATTTAATTGCAATAATTTCTGATGCAACAAATTTATTGTCTTATCCATATTTGCATCTTCCTTCTTAAATTTGTCTAACTGATATTGTATCTTCATATTTTTCTGCTCCATTATCATAACCTCCTTATTAAGAATATTAAGCTGCTGAAGTTGTTCATCTCTTTGCTGGCTCAATGTAACCATATATCTTTGCTGACGTAACCAAAATTGTTGTGCTTTTTGATTATTTTGTTCGGTTTCTTGAATATTCTTTTCTAAAGTGAGTATTTTTAAGTCTTGTGGATTGATTTCTTCACCATCTTTACTTTCTAGAATCTGCAGTAGAAAATTCTATGTAGTATTATTATAAAATTATTTTAACTCTTTCATTATTGAAAAAGTGTATATATAATACATATATAATAGAGTTTTAGTTATTCGGACACATTTTGTAAAAATGTTGATAGTTGAGTGATCAAACATAGGCACAGTATGTTATGAGCAAATTTTCAAAGCATCTATACATATTGACAACAGTGAAAGAATTAAGGATTCATACCTGATCAATCATTTTGTTTAAAGTAATAATTTTCATTTGTTTCCTGTCAATTAAATTCTCAAATTTTTTTATTTCCTTCTGTAATTTGCTTACATCTTTTTCTTTTTCATTATTTCTTTGCAAAAGTTCTTGATATTCTATTTTTTCATTTTCTATAGAGGTGTTTAATTTTGCTATCTCTAATAAATTCTTTCCATGTGAATTTTCTACTTGAACCACTAATAGTTCTTGTTCTTGTATTATCTTCTTTGTATTCATTAAGAGCTTGTTTAGATAACGTGCTGCTTTATCATGTGTAACTTTTTCTTTTAATTTTTCAAAAATAAGATTCTCTTGTTCTATTTTCCAATTCATTAATCTTGCTAATTCTTTGTCAATTTGTTCCTCTTTATTTAAATAATTTTGATATTCCTAAATAAATATTTAGGAATTATTAAAAACAATGGTATCTCATATGGAAAATATGGGTTACGTACAGCATGTGCAAAATTATACTCGTTTAAAGTTTGTTCTCCAAATTTAGTAATTTTTATCAATTCCAATTCAAGATTATTAATCCTTGCATTCCCAGTTGTAACCGTTCTTGAGACAATTGCTATATCATCCTCTATTCTTGATTGCAATGATGTTAAATTTTCATTATTTTCTGATTCTTTAAGTGTTTCTTTCTTTAGTTTTTCTATTTCTGTTTGCAATGTATCAAAAGAATGATGCATTTTTCTACAAAATTTACAAATAAAAAAGATGCCAAATTAATAAATTTACTTATAATTTATTAACAGAGAATTTATATTATCTTATTAACTTACTCACGCTCTTCTGTTAATTGATCATATATTTTATCACGTTTACTAATATTTAATACAACAGTATTCCACGCATTACATAAATTTGTATGTTCCCTATGTAAAGCTTCTAAATCTGCATTTGCATCTGCAACCAATTGACTTGTTGCTACTTTTTCCTTAAGTTTAAGTTGTATTTGTTCATTTAAATTGGTTATTTCTTCTTCTAATCTCCATACTTCTTCTCGAAGTTTAAATAAAATGCAGTCTTTTCTCTGCTTCTCATTAAGTAATTCCTGCTGAAGAATTGCATCTTTTTGACATGTTTTCTTAGAAATTATTAAACATTTTTTTATTTCTTTTTCCCAATCAGCAAATTGATTTTGTAAAGCTGTCATTTTTTGTAAGTCATGTGAAAGTTTATCTTCTTTTTCTTTTTCCTCCAGCATCTTCTTTTGTGCTTTTTTATGTAATTCTTTTATATCATTAATTTTTTGATCTTTTTCTTCTCGTAAAGATGTAAGTTTCATCAACGTGTTTTGATATTTTTCAATTGTATTTTGCTGTTGTGAAATTTCTTGTTGTACATAATAGAGCTGTAGACTTTCTTCTTCATGTTTTTTTTTAGTAGATTTTAAGGATGCTTCCTAAAATATTATTGTTCTTATCAGGCTATTATTATTAAATTAAAGACAGAAATGATTCTTTGAAAAGAACTGTGATAAGTTAGCAATTAAATCAGATCAGAAGAAAAAGAAAAAAGTAACAACCAAATTGTAAAATAAACATAAAAAATTACAAAGCCATTTGCAATTTTACAGAAAAATATAAAACATGCATATTAATATTTTTCTTACAAGATCAAGTATTTCTTCTGAAAGCTTATTAACTAGACGAAGAAGATGTTCTTTTAATGCACTTTGAAATCTTTTCATCAATGCATCATCTGGATCTAAAACATTTGGAATCTGTACAGAGGCTTTGCCTAACCAAAATGACTTGGATAGTTTGTTTGAATCCTGCGTTGAATTAGGTGCAGATGAATCATATTTAAGAGATAGATTTTCTACTTGTGCATCAGACATTGTAGAATATTTAACAAATCAACTAGATAAAAATACAAGACCACCAATTCTAGTAAACTTCAAAGTACTACTAGGTGTATATCTTCTGATGATCAAATGAATTTAATATGAGTTACTATAGTAACATGTATAATATATCCATACGTATAAATCAATAAATGGAACAATTAAAATTAATACTTACTGTGAAATTAAACTATAAGACTATAAAGATGATATTTAAATAAATGCATGTAAAAATATATTAAAAAATATAATTTAAGAATAAGTATAACTCTAATAACAAAAATAGAGTATATATAATATATGATTTATTTAAAATACTTCAAGATTTTATATAACTCATTATTATATATATTTAAGTATTTTATTATTTCTCGACAGGTGTCTTCATCTTTATTTACATTATTTTATATTTATTTATGCCTCTTAAATGAGTAAAGTTTTACATATATACATAAGGAAATATAACCTAAAATTTTTTGTACTACTATAAATAGAAGTCTTTTATATACCATAAAATAACATTACATTTTGAATTAAAGAAAAACCTTAAAAATAAATGATATTAGGTTTATTTGAACACAGAATAATGCAGATCACAATTCGAATTGAAAATTTCCTTCAGTCAGATATATTAAGTGAGTAAAATATAGCAATAAAATAAACTCACGTTTCTATAATTTTAAAGTAACCATATGTGTCTGCTCTAATAATTTTGATTTCCAAAAATATAAATGTAATTGAATCTAATTCAATCACTTCATGTGTTTCATATTACAATAAAATATACAATTTAAAATGTGACTATCGAAAAACACTAATAACGACTAAACAGAAAAACTTTCTCCGCACCCACATGTCCCTTTGATATTTGGATTGTTAAACACAAACTCAGAACTTAATTTGTTCTCAATATAATCCATTTCTGTTCCGAGAAGCGATAATTGAGCCTTCTTATCTATTATTATACGAACTCCATCTTGTACAACTTCTTCATCTAGCTGACTTTTTTCTTTCACATAATCTAATGTATAACTTAATCCATTGCAGCCTCGTTGTTTTACACCGACTTTGAGACCAATCTATAAATATTAAAGCATAGATAGAGATTAAGGAGATAAAGAATGAATATACTAATAAAAATTACGAATAATTAGGATAAAGTTCCACTTAAAAAAATATAAAATATATATATATAATATAAGACTGTAGGCTTATATTTTATTACAATAGTATATTCTAATATACAATATTATATAAAAATTTATAAAATACAAAAAATACAAAATATATACTTACATATTCTGATTTATTTTCCAAAATTTCTTTAATCTTTTTAACAGCATTAGGTGTCTAAAAAAAGAAAATACATAGATTTAACTAATCTATAAATCAAATTTTGTTTCTTAAAATTGGCATTATTGTAACTTGACATATTTTATATTATCAGATGACAAGTAAATTTTGTACAATAAAGATCTATTATTATACACATTAAAAAAACAATTGCTGCAAAATAGTATATTTTTGTTTTTATTCTTTTCATGTTAATACTAAAGTAATAAAGGTATAGGTTAGATTATTTCTATTTTTTGTACAATTGAATAAATTTGAAACCATTTTCATAAATTTTATTTAAAAGCTTAAAATAAATTTCTAATTATTTAAATACTAACTAATGTAAGTGCTGCTCGCGTAGAAAGAATTTTTCTTCCTTTGACAGCTCGAACAGTGGCGGCAGCCATCATGGATGACGCCATTTTTAAAAGACTGGACGTTTTCTTGTAACTATATTGAGTAGTGAAAATTCACGAACTATCCGTAAAGTTTATAAGAAATTACCAACACGGAGAAAAGATTTTCGAATACTTTACCTAGTAACTCCCCTTATATATAATTCCATAGATATAATGTAAAATGAAAGAATAAATAACCAAATATTTATAATGACGAATAATATTTATAAATAAAAATTAAAATAGTAGAGTTTTTCGGTTTCTTCTTTATATATTTGTTCATATACTTTTCAATACTCAGTGCGATCATCCAAACATATCAATTGGTTGACGCAACTCATCTAGATGTCGCTAACTTTCTCGGCATTAGATTGAAAATTTCCTGTCTGTTTGCTATCTTATACTCGTAGCCTATTCAACTTCAGCGACAATTCTTTACCTTAAACTAAATCGAATTGAATTATTACATTTTGTAAATGTTTATAATTAGTACTTAATAAAATAATAGAGTAATAATCATTGAATTATTCATTCCATACAAAAGTATGTTTAGGAATGTAAAATATGAGTACTTCAATGTCTAATTAGATATGAAAAGAAAACATTTTGGAAACACATAAAGACATCCAGCCATTCGCTCGGTAGTACTTTACTATACATATATATGCATATGATCTAAATTTAAAATTCTATTGGATTGTCTGTAAAGTTCGTGTCGATTTTGTCCTTACGTTACCTACCAAAAATTGTTATAAACTTACGACAATCCAATATATATCGCAAATAATACCGATCCATATCTCACTGTGTGAAAATTGGTATTTATGGAGATCCACGGTGACTCTACTCTAAAATCCGCGTACCGAAATGTCTTTCCTCTTTGGGAGTTTTAGGCTTTGTATTAATTATTGGCATAAACCATTATAAAATCAAAGGTAATAAACAGCCTTAAATGTATCTGTTACTATTTTGATTTTATTGCCCCTAATTTTTATTAATTAAATTTAAGTTGTATTTGTTAAATTCTTCCCTTTTGTATCTATCACTTTATGAGGTCCCTTATACGATTACTACATAAATACGATAAATTATTTTAAGAATATTTTAAACGATAAGGTGTATAAATTTAAATTAAGTATTTTTCTTTTGCGTTTTTATAAAATAAGATTTTATTTAGCATGAAAAATGAAGTTATTAGATGTATTAATAAAAATTAACATTTCGTTAATGAATTACGTAAATGATAAATCAAATAACTATGTCGTTAAAATTTTCAATTTCGTCCTTGTGGAAAATGAAGACATCTTTTAGTAACATATTAGGTCCATCATAATGGAAATCGACGGTTGGCTTATCCAAGGGGAATCCAAATGGTTTATTATCAAATTTGTAATTACCGAAGATACGAGACGTGTATAAAAGAGGCTCACTGGTTACTGGGCTGACATAGATGAACATATATAATGGAAAACCTTCTACTCTTCCTTTAGGCAAAAGCAATCTTTCCGGGAATCCATAAAGTCTTTCATTGTATTTAAGGGTTTCGGAATCATTTAAAGATCTTTCGATCTTCTTGTAGAAAATTTCGCTCGGTTCTGGATCAGGAGACAAGAAGAAACAGTCCTTGCTGTTTCGATCGATCTTATTTATACCGGCATTCACTGTTGAAATAATTTTCACATTAGTAAAAGATATTTAGTAAAAATTCATTTGTTATATAAAAATTGTTATACTAACGATCGGTTATCCAATTGTCGATCTCATAAAAATATTTCAAGTTATCTTCGAAATTAAGGAATCTACGATGTATGTCGTATTTAGGTCCTAAGAAAATACGAATAGATGCTTTGATACTTTTTTCGGAATTAATAGTTATGTGGAAATTGAATGGTTTATGATTGAGACGATATTGTCTTGCTTTGATTATATAGCTCTCAGCTTCTTGTTGGTTTTCGACCATCAAACCATTGTTAAGGGATGTATCGAATTGATCGAAATAAGTGATCAATTTGTCTACAGCAAAGGATTCAACCTTGAGACTCGGGAAAATAATCATATTTTTGGTATAAGGCTCTTGGCGTAACTTGTATCTATCGAAATCAATTATAATCATTATTTCAACGAGAATAACGAATCTGGTATATTCATTAACAAACTACAATACCTGTAATAATAATTACAGATCTTCTTGTAGAGCCGATAGAAAGCTGGATCTCTCAAGGATGTAGCAAAACTCTCAAGAGCGCTTGGTAGAACATGATATGGTGTTGTAGGTTCAACGTTGTATCCCAAAATTTTTCTAATGTAGTAGTCTAAGCTTCCATAATAATCGTAGTTATATGAATCCTGATTACCTTCAATTAAATTACCGAGAATATTAAGATCGTTTGAAGAATGAAGTTTAATCAATTTGGAGTTCCTATCGATGATAAGACCGGAATCGATAGCACTGGAAATACGTGATTCCATCTCGTATACGTCCTAAAAATAATAGAAAAATAGGTCATATATTTCACATTGGAATAGCGTAATGTGCTTAATATGAATGATATAAATACCTTGATATATTTGTATTTGTAAGACGGGAACATACTCATGTATGGACGTTGCGGGTACGGCAATCCATTGTGATAAGTCAAGGTTGGATAATATCCAGGATAGAACTCTTTGTGCCAGTCGAATTCTTCTATCTTACCAAGATTGTTCGATAGACGTTCCAAGTAGTAACGTGTCATAAGTTGTTTATGTCCATACAAATATTCTTCTCCACGATATTTTGGCAATTGATATTCTTCGCTTTTTAGCCAAAAGGGAAACTGTTGTCTGAAGTAGAAGTAATACAAATTCAAGCCAATATCTTCAGTGAAGTAATTCAATTTGTTTTCTTGATCATGTTCGTAAGTTATATACCAGCCGGAATAGTTCGCTGGGATAATGTAAGTATCATATCCAGTTAATTTCTGCTTATCTGAAATATATAAATATCTACAGATGATAAATCATGAATTTTATCGAGAAACTTATACACATGAAATTAAATTTGAGATTTATTATTATGTAGAAAATAATATCTAAGCTTTCTAAATTTGTATAACATGTAACTAATTCTTAACGTTTTTGGTCAATCGCTTACTGAAGACTTGAAAACTATTTCTTAATCTTCTATATTCTATTATTAATAAATCAAATTTTAATTAAAATGGAGATCCATCAATCTTTTGCAAAATTTTAAGCAACATAGTTTCGAAGATTTGTTTTCCTTACCTAGCTTACCGTAGAGCTTCGCATGATTTGCTTTATTCAGAACTTCGGAATTGAAAAAGGCATAGGGATACATCTCGTAAAGAGGTGGAAGTTGAATGTAAAGGGTATCTGGACGGCGGATAACAGCATTGTAAAGGGCACAAACGAATTGACCTTCGTTTACATAAATACGAGCCCATAATGCTGTTTTGTAAAAGACATCGAAATCCTTGGCATAATAGAACAAATGGAACAGGGCCACCCCTTCCTTAAGATGTTTAGGATAGTAAATGGAAAAGACATCGCCTCGTGGTAGCATTCCATACTTGTATAGATACAGGAACTCTTTTACAGCGTCCTGAAAATATTTCACTCATTATTATATAGGCTCAATTAAATCTTTATAATTGTAAAATCATAAATTCTTTATCAATTATCTAGTTCTATATTTATGTTATATCTATGTTAGATTTGAAACTCTGCAGTCTATCTATCATGATAATTTTGATTCGAATATATATATATATATATATATATATATATATATATATATATGATAATTCAAATATGATCTGAAAATCGTTTACGTACTTGATTGGTGTAGGAATTGATGTTTGCTTCAATATCATATTGTTGACCCTCGATATACAATTCAGGATTGACGATACTCGGCTGAGAAATGTGATACAAGAGATTATATATCTTTTTTTGTTTTAATAGAAAGTCTTTGTCAGCCGTTTGAACAGTATAATATTCAGCGGAGGTAAGGCAGAAGGCCAGAATGGCCAAAACTGCCAAGTTCCTGTACATGGTCGATTTCGTTTAGCAGACTTTCAGTGTGACCGGCTATATTTTCTCCGCTAATTCTACGCGCAATAACGGGATGCTTCTACATTTATAGTATCTTCACCTCCTAATCAACATTTCTCAGGTCATAAGGGCGACTCATATATTGTGCAAGGAAGAACGCACAAAAATGATACAGGGTATTAACGATCATGTTTACCAGTGATTACTCCGGCAGAGATTTGTGAATGGTACGATTGTTGATATCATTTTTCTGCATGCTATCGGAAAGTATCTGTTAAACTAATACTTCTTTGTTCTTCGTATTTTCAAATGAAAATTAAGGGAGAATATTAATGGAAAATATATTCATACCCTTTATTAAACTTCGACAAAAAATAATTGTTCTTATTGTTGGAGTCATATGTAAATAAATCGAAGTGAAATAAATATAAATGAACTTTTCAATTTTGTTTGAACGGTATAGTAATTATCTATAAGCGAAATATTTATCGAAAGAAAAGATCTATAAACGAGGCGAATTTCTACAATAGATAACAAAAAAAATCACTTGAGCATTTTTAATCTGTATTAAATGTTTTTATTAAAAAAAAATATCCGATACATATAATCATATAGATTAAAGTTAAATTGATAGTTATTAAGATAAATGGAATCAATTACGAATGCGTAAATATATATTATCAGAACAAGTTTGTTGACGATATTTAGTTGACTTCTGACATAAATTCAATCTTAAAATGTATTTTTTACAATTTATATGATACAAAAATTTCTTTAAAAAAACATTCTATTAAATTATACGATTTTTCGAGCGTATATAAATGATCATATATATCGAAAATTATTCTCAATACTTTTTATAAAGAGATTACCTTGTTTAAAATAAATATGAACATTATGCAATTATAGTTTATCCTATTACGCGGTTAGTATGATTTGTAGCGGAACAGTCAATGAGGTGTACAAAACAAGGGGTGGACTCATGGAACATCTGGGCTTGAAAGATAAATCATTAAAATGTGTAATTAACTGATATAGCTCTATCAGCATATTTATTCTCAATAATAAAAAAATTGGATATAATTGTCCCAGATAACAACATACCTATCATTATTATCGCATCTTCGCTCTCATAATTCCGATAAAAGCTAGACTTACGCTTAATCATTTGCATGAACTTCTTGTTAATTATGACCCCGTAGTTTGCATGAATCCGGATTTTTCTCAATCTACTGACGAGTCACATGCATAAATCATCTTTTGATCTATTTTTATGTTTTTTTTCTTTCATGTTATCGCACAAGAAAAATAAAATAGGACTAGTATACGTAAAAAGAAAACTACCGAACTTTAAGGTGTCAATTATAAATCGGAAATTTTATTGAAAACATTTCAACGGTCTGTATAAGAAATTAACGGAGATAAATATTCCACGTGCTTTTAGGGAGAACTCTGCAGTCTTTTTCTTTGATTCTCTTTGATGTATCTCTTATGAAAAATTCAAACAATTTAATTAAAAATGTTTTAGACGGTAACGTTCATTTCATCGAGTTGCTTATGGAAGATAAAGACATCCTTGAAGTGAAGATTAGATAAAGTAAAGTTGTACGCTTGAACTGGCTTGTCCAATGGGAAACCCATTGGACGTCCATCCATGACAGAAGTTCCCCAGATTGGCAAGTCAATCTTGAAGGATTTGGTCTCATCAACTGGCGCAATGTGTACGAAGAGTTTGAACGGCATGCCTTCTTTCTTTCCTTTAGGAAGCATCAGACGGTCTGGGAATCCGTAAAGTTTCGTGGTATAGGCGTATGTCTCCACACCATCGATTGCCTTCAGCATTTTCTTGTAGAGTAATTCACTAGGAACGTCATCGGGAGCAACGTAGATTGATTCATGGCTGCTTCGTTCGACCTTATTGGTACCAACTTTGACTGTAATTCAAATAGAAATGATATTAACATTCTTTGTAAGATAGATTAGATTAAAGTTCGAAGATAAGCGATATACTAACGGTCGACTATCCATTGATCTAATTCTATGAAGTTCATGTAATTCTCACTGATATCAACTTCGTGGCCATGTACAGTGTATTTGGGTCCAAGGAACACACGTACTACAGCTTTTACAACTTTGTCGCTGTTTACGGTAATGTGATAAGTGAAAGGCTTATGATTGAGACGATTTTGACGTGCCTTTATCAACGTGGATTGAGCTTCTTTGTGATTTTGTACTGAAACAACATTGTTGATCATAGATTCGAAGTGATCAAAGTATGTCATTAATTTGTCTACGGCAACAGATTCAATCATGACACCAGGGAAACTAAGTTCTTCTTGTGTATAGCTAGGCATGTTCTTTTTGTAACTAAAATAAACAATCTTCATTAAGTAATAATATATAATATATAGAATTATCATTCATTCTAACATATTCTTTAAATACAAACTTTAATAAGTAGGTGACGACGTTCTTGTACATGCTAAAGAAGACAGGATCTCTTGTACTTGTACTGAAGATTTCTAATGCATTAGGAACAATTTGGTATTTGGTATTTGGTTCCAAACTGAGTCCGAAGATCTTTCTACAAAGGAGGTCGTATTGTCCATAGTATTTTGGATTTAATGTATCAGCGTTTCCTTGGATGATATTACCGAGAATATTGAGACCTCCCTCAGTATAGATATTTACTTTTTGACCGTTAACATCTTCAACGTAACCAGAATCAATGGCATCGGCAATACGAGTTTCAAGATGTTCAGCTTTCTAAAAATTCGAAAATTTATTGTGCAATCGAAATAATTGAATAAATTCTATACTTTATCTAATAATAATTTTCTTACCAACCTGTACATGTTTATGCATGGAAAGTGGTACTACAGTATTGGTTTCACGATGAGAGAATGGTAGTCCATTGTGATGGTGCATTGTTGGATAGTATCCAGTAACAATTGGATGGTTGACATCAACATAGTTAACTTCGCCCAAATCATTTGATAATCTTTCCAAATAGTAACGGGTTAATAATTGTTTGTGATTAAATAAGTACATTTCACCTCGAACGTTGGTAGGTAATTTGTATTGAACGCTGTTCATCCAATAAGGGAAATCGTGGCTACTCATGAAATAGTATTGTCCAAGACCAACATCTTCGGTGAAATAGGTCAGCTTTTGTTCAGGTACATCGTTTCTTACGAGATACCAACCAGAGTAGTTACTGTGAATCACGTGATAATTAACACCACCTACGGTCTTTTTTAAACTAGTATCACCCATTCCAAGATGGTATGCTTTATGTAAAACATCGTCGTTGAAGAATAAATTTGGCAGGACTTCATACAGAGGTGGAAGACGAACGTATTGGGTATCGCTACGATGAAGAACGGCAACACTAAGAGCATAAATAAACATATGCTCGTTCATATTGAATCGTGCCCATACTGCAGTGTTGTAGAAGGTGTCAAAGTCCTTAGCAGAATATAAGAGATTGAACAAACAAACAGTTTCCTCGTGAAGTTGAGGATACATGATAGAGAAGACTTGGCCTCGTGGCAACATTCCATGTTTCCAGCGTTGGAGGAATTCGGTCACTGCAGTCTTTAAAAAACACAAAAAGAATTTAGAATCTTAACAAACAATTAAGAAAACATTCTTTATTTAAAGATCGAATTACCTTGTCCGCATAGGAACCGACGTGATCCTCAATGCTGAACGAACGAGCCTTTTGATAGAGTTCTGGGTGATAAACCGTCGGCTGATCGACGTGCCAAAATAATTCGTAGATACTCTTCTGTTTGATTAGATATGCTTTGTCGGCGGTATGAACTGGGATAGCGTTTGCTAAGCAAAACGCTCCCAAAAGCAATAGAATTATTTTCATTGTTTATCACCTTTCCTTCTTACCCTGTTTAAAATTCTTCTCCTGTGCCGTAAATTAGATCCGTTCGTGTTTCCCTGCCGGAGATGAAACGCGATTCACTGATGCCAATTGTCCCTTATATACCATACAATATGTTTAATATCAGTTTTGACCTGGCGACAACCCCCTGACTTTGCCTTTAGACAAGATACATAAGTGAATGAGATAATATTTGTAAAAAGATAATCGCATTTAATGGTTACGTCAAATGAACTGTCTTTTTATATCGAAAGAAAATTAAGAAAGAAAAAATTTTATTATGTCAATTTAAAAAGAAATATAATCACAATACCCTTTGACATAATATATAACAGAGACCTCGTGATATGACGATAATCTTGCTAATCCATTTTAATTTCTTTTAGAATACTCCAGAAAATGTACAAAAATCCAAGTTAAACTTATCGATTTAAATGTTGAAGAAGAATATTAAATTTTATGAAAGTAAAAAAGATACGTCATAGAACTATTCGTTTTAATATTAAAAATATAAAAGAATTACATATAATCGACAACTTTTTTAAAACACTTCGAACGCCGTATGATATAATAATGTATTGGTTAAATTTGACGGTATAAAATATGAAATTAAAAAAGAAAAAACGATGAAAGAATTATATTACACTTAAGTATATTAAATAGTGAAATAAAAAACGAAAGAAAAATATAACATCAAATCTAATTTTGTATGTATGTGTGACTTTTTAAATATTATTATATAAGTGCATCTACAACATCATTCATTTTATATTTATCCTTATCTTTCTTATTTCATTTTTTATTTAATTAAGTACTCCCTCTGGCATATATTATCTATTAATATTTATTGCTTTCTTTAAATAATCTATCTAATAATATTTACTGCTATCTTAAATAAGACTTTAAAAAATGTTAATATTATGTAATTTAACCTGACCCCCTGATTAATGATTTTTAAATACAAAAAAGTTATAATTTAAAAAAAAACCAATTGCAGTAATAGATATGCCTTTTTTTCAAATCGAATATAAAATATTTGATTGAAATAATTAATCAATTTTTATTAAAAGTATAGTTCTTATATATAAATATACCCATCACTTTTAATTGTATAATATTATAAACGCACAATTTACATATACATGCATTTATTAAAAAAAATAGATACATACATACATATGTATATATATATATATATATATATTATTGTAATATAAAAAGAAATTATATATAAATGATGCATTGAAAGAAGTAATATAATAATTATACTTCATTATTTACATTTATTTTGATAATACGTGTATTATCATAATATGTTTTTGTACGATAAAATTACATTTCCATCAATTAAATTTTATTCTCCTTGTTAAAATAAATATTTCTTTAAAGAATAATTAATAATAAATTCAATTGATAATACGATTAAAATGTATATTTTAAAAATGTTAAAATTCTAATACTCAAGATAATTCATCGACTTTAAAATATTGATAACGATACCATTAATAAAATATTTATAATTATTATCATTATTATTTAATTAATAAATTAAGTTTTATATTTAAAAAATTAATAAGCTATAATCTATACATTAATATAGATTATAAGATAACAGATTATAAGCTAAAAGATTATAGATATTGTTGGTAATTTCTTGATTAAATGAAGGTGTTAGGAATTTCGAAAATGGAATAGCGGATTAACAGTATTTAATTCATTTAACATGTATTTTTGACATTTTTTTACAAATTAACAGTCACGTGGTACAAAATCGCATCCAAAGATATATTTGCCGTTAAGTCTAATTAGAGTAATAATTAGAGAACTTTTCGGTATCCTTTGTATTGTAGACATAAACGTCTTTGAAATACATATTAGGAGTAAAGAATTTCCAGGTGTACATTGGTCTGTCAAGAGGGAAACCGAATGGCTTGCCGTCGTAAGTCATTTTACCGAAGATAGGTAGTTCGATGTGGATCATTTTCGATTCGTCATATGGACTCAAATAGAAGAACATCTTGAATTTCATACCCTCGGGTTTACCCTTAGGAAGAGTTAGACGTTCAGGAAAAGCGTAGACTTTTTCATAATAAGTAAATGGCTCGCTACCACTGACAGCGTTCTGAAGTTTTTTGTAAAGCTTATCGCTAGACGTTTTGTAAATAGCTTCAGTGCTTGCATGTTCGATATTATTTATACCTTGTTTTACTGCAAAAAGAAAAAATAATTAATTAAAAATAACAATTATTGCACTATTATTGTTGCATTTATATAAATATATATTGAAATATCAAATAATTTACTAACGTAACACATCGAATTGGTCCAACATTACGAAGTATTTATAGTATTTGCTGAGGTAACTCATGTCTTGACCTATGGCAGGTCCAAGGAAAACCTTGACTAGAACCTTGATGTCTTTGTCGGAATTCACACTTAGACGGTAAGTAAATGGTTTGTAATTGAGGCAATAACGACGAGCCTTGATATACAGGGATGATCCTTCTTTGAAACTGTTAAAGTATACGGCATTGTTAATCGTTGCATCACAATAATCGAAGTAAGTCCAAAGTTTGTCCATATTGACGGATTCAATCTTGATACCAGGGAAGTCGAGTTCGCTCTGGGAGTAGACTGGTATATGTTTCTTGTATCTAAAGTTACAAATTAAATTCGATTATATATCTATTATATTTTTTAATGGATATATTTAATGCTAACCTTTCTACGTAATTATTGATTTTATTAAAGAGAGCATAGAAAGCTGGATCCCTCATGCTGGTACTATAAAATTGCATAGCACTTGGCATGGTCTTGTCTTTGTCCGTATAATCGAAGTTGGTTCCAAAAACATTTCTTGCCAATATTTCATACATTCCGTAGTAATATTTGTTACAGGTATCAGAGTTACCTTCGATCAGATTACCAAGAATATTTAATCCTTCGGGAGTATAAATGTTTACAAATTTGCCATTGCTGTCTAAAACTAATCCAGAATCAATGGCATCCATAAAACGAGATTCTAGAGTATCAATTTCCTACGAAGGAATTGAAATGAAAATAAGTATCATCATTATTGTTATAACATATCGTGTTTTCTATCGCATACCACAAACCTTTAAATATTGGTATTTGTAATAAGGTACATTGTAATAAGACTTGTATGGGGGTATTACGGCATCGTTACCAAATACCACAGAAGAATAGAATCCTGGATAAAATATTTTCTGTAAGTTAAAATCTTCGATCTCACCCAAGTCATTCGACAAGCGTTCCAAGTAGTAACGAGCGACCAGTTGCTGGTGGACATACAAGTAGAAAATACCACGATATTCCCGAGGAATATTGTATTCTTTGCTATTCAACCAGAATGGGAAGATCTGACGAAAATAGAAATAGTAGGTATTCAAACCAAAATCTTCCGTAAAGTAGTCTAATTTGTTTTCCTCCGAGAATGTGTTAGTATAGTTACTGTAGATTACGTAAATGTCCGTATTATTCATATTGCCAGTAGAAGTTAAACCTATAAATAAATAAAGAATGTAAAATATTAATTGAGTTAATAGTAACACAAGAAAAACATTCAATCCATGTACCATGCATCATTTTGATGCGCTGTGCCTCCTGAATGACATTCGAGTCAAAGAAATAATTTGGATTTACTTCATAAGGTAACATGGGCATAATATATTTGCAGTCGGGTCTATAGAAAATGGCAACGTAGAAAGCTAGCGTGAAGACATCGGAATTTACGGAAAATCGTGCCCAAGCAGCGGTCTTATAGAAGATATCGAAATCTTTAGCATTATAGAAGAGTTTGAACAATAGAATCATTTCGTTAAGGTGCTCTTCGTAGAATGGCGAAAAGGTGGCATCGCGGCTAAGCATGCCGCGTTTGTAATAATGAAGGAACTCTTTGACGACATCCTGTAAAACAAAATAATCTTACTGTCATAATTCTATGAATCTTTTCAAATTCTTACAAATTTTCTATATTCTCTCTTAAAAAAAAAAAAAAAAAAAAAGAGATCAATTAGAAAGACTTATGAAGAATGTACGTTCAATCGTTCTTCATGATCTTAGCAGTTATGAAAAAATTAAACATGATGGATGATCACCTTTTCTTTGTACATTTCCACATTGTTCTCGATTTTATAGTTACGTCCAATATTGTAAAATTCTACGTCAGTTAAAACGTTTTGTTTCACAAAAAGCAATAATTCATGGATCTTCTTTTGCTTTTGTACGAAATTCATGTCAGCAACGTGACTTTTAATACTGACGGCGTCCGACAGACATAATGCCGTCAGAACTAAGAAGAACACTTCCTTCAACATCCTTCTATAATTTATCCTTTTCTTGCCTCTTGGCTGAGATCTTTACCCCAACGGTTAGGGAGAATGATGAGACATCAGAACACAGGGCCTCGCTTTTATACCGGTGCTTTTTCTTTGTAATCATTGTAACCTGTGACCTAGAATGTTCGTCGTTCGTCGCGATGATGAAATTGATCGTTTTATAACTAAATAACACAACAAAAATAGATCATGCATGTTTCCAAGTTGAAAAATACTTTGTCTTGATATTAAAAGATGTGTATATAATGAGAACATTGAATCAAAATTTGATGAAATTAATATTTCGTGTCTATTCGATAAATATTTGTTATGATTTTAATATTTCAATATAACTTTAAAAAATATATCGTACCTGTCTTATGACTTTATTAATATTTCTATAAATATTATTAAGTTATACTTATATATTGTAAATTTTTATATATTAAAAATTACATTTTTCTAATTTGCTATTTCATTAGCTAAAAAAATTCAAATCAATTCGTTAAAGATAAGAATGTTAGGATGAATCCGGTAAAATCTTGCTATAATTAAATATAATGTAAAATGAAGAGTGTAAAGAACGATTATACGAAAAACACTCATGAAAACAGTTTCGAAAGATATAAAAGTTCCATTTCTCTTTAAGTCATCGCTAATATTATCATTGCTAATAAATTTACTAGAATTAAGTAGATTATGTTAAAATGTCAATTACGGAGAAAAAAAAGAAAAGACAATTGAGAACTTTTACAATTGAATTCTCTTCTTTTTCGCTTCATAACTCTTCTTTTTACAAAAGTTACTTCATCTATTCTATGCTCAAGAATCTCCGATGTATTATCCTTCAATGAAAAATTTAATAAAATTAAACATTTCATTAATAATGATTTGATTTAATTCAAAATATTTCTTTATGACTCATGTATGAAAAAGATATTTTTTTCGGCAATGTAAAATTATATGATTAAAAAATCTACAATATCATAAATTCATTTAGACAATATCTTTTCTAAGCTTATTCTTATAAATATATGAGTAAAATGGTGATTATCTTTTTCGAATCGTGCATCCATTTGCCTGTTTACATCTTTTGGAAAAGACTGATTACGTCGTAATCTTTCATTTATCACTAATCATTAAAATTATATGAAAAGAAAAAGAAAAAAAAAAAAAAAAAAAAAGAAAAGAAAGGAATGGATGAAGAGGAACTATCTACACTTAATTAAGCCTCATTTAAATAATAATGAATGATTACGTTGACACATCACAGCTTGATTTATTGCTCGTTTGTCATTCCATAAGATAATTAATTATAAAAAATATAAAAAAGGGAAAAATCATTTTTAGGATATGTACGGTTTGCCCATTGTTTTTAATTCAAGCAAAACTCTTCTTCTTCCAATAGCTTTTTTGACATTTTACATATTTTAGAAGATATATCACTTCATTTTGTAAATCAAAATATTCTGCAAATAAAATGAAAGGAATTCACAATTCAGTTAAGTATTATTTTATTAAAAGGTTTATGAATAAATTGTCCACTAGGAGTTTATTATATCTGTTACGTAAAATTAATCACTTGAGTTTTTATAATTACGATTAAATAATGGAAAATTGTAAATCTTTGAAAAATCATTGGAAATAATAAAATCGAAAACAATGTTACCTTTTAAAAGATATTTTTCATTCTATTTAAAATTATTCTCGTCGTACTCGGGAAAAGTTATTTTATGCATTGTAATAATATCTTTTGTTATTTCTTCGTGCACTTCTTCGGTTAAAGGAACTGTACACATGTAATTACTGACATACAAAAAGATACGAAGCCAGGAATCCTAGAAAAATAATTAATATTTATTAATATCAAAATATCCATATTTTTTATGTCATGTCACTTTTTCAAATTTACTTTTCGTGATTGATAATCGAGGCAAGATTTTTATCAACGAAATACGATGCATATTTATTGATATTTGATAACTTTACATTAATGTTACATCAAATGATTGATAATTAAAATGAAAATAAAATCGAAATAATAAATTACGCACGTTAAAAGTATTTTCTAATGTGTTTAATTGCTTTTCCAAATCAAGTATATATAATTTTATCTTCGTATTAGTCTCAGTTTCTTGATTCGAGGTTACAATATGTTGATTCCAGTTATCATTTTTATTAAAGTTATTTATATCCTCACGAATTTCAATTCGTAATTTGTCGAGTTTTTGTTTCAATGTGATTAGAAGATTAGAAAATTTAGACATTATGTAATGAAAACTTGTCATTGAAATTATAGCATCCATATTATCTTTTGACAATAATCTATTTAAAGAAAAAATACAAATATTTCTTTCAATAATTAATCATAATTAATGACGGTAAATAAAATAATGTTAAAAACGATTAAATGACACAACATTTCAACAAATTATCGTACAGTTCGATATATGAAAAAATACAAATCTTCGATATTCTTATTAATTTGTTTTATTTGTATTTGAAAACGGTAATCCTCGGTTTAAATATAGTGGCATTGTGAGCGCATAACCGGGATTTTATATAATATAAAAGTTATATATATATATATATATATACATATACACACACATATATATTTTCTTTAATATTTAAATAACAAATAAAAATGATACAATCAGTACTTATTAATTAAAATTCAAAAATTATCGTCGATTACGTCTTATTTTTTCACATGTTATCAAAATTTAGGTTAACGTGAAAATTAAGAAAAATAAGAAAACGTTGATGATAAACGAATATTTCTTTAATATGTACAATTCGATTTTATGCTTGTAATATATTTAAGAAGTGTGGCATTATGAAAAAGTAGGAATATGTCATTTTCGAGCTTTACATGTGGTTTTCATTATGTATCAGTTTTTACAATAAGTATTATGAATAATTATTTGGTATAAACCTTAAACAGATTTTAAAATTACATCTTAAATTTCAATCTTGGGGTTCAATTTGTAGATGAATTCCATTTAAGGATTTTATACCATACTGTTGGCGCCACTCATATTTACTATTCACTGCTCTCAGGAACTCGAAATTGGGTCTAAAAATAAATATTTTATATTAGAATCTACATTAAAATTAAACCTTTATCATTTATGACAAATAATCGTACAATGATAATAAAAATTCAACTGCTTATAAAGTCATTTTCGTCTTTAGATATAACACTTTTATTGTCATCTTCATTATGCTCTTCTTGCTCTTCTTGTTCTTCTTGCTCTTCTTGATCGGACATTTCCTCCCAATTCTCATCTGATTCACTCTCTAAATCTACCTCATCCAAAGCCGGACCTTCGTCAGATGAATCTGTGTATAACAAAATGAGCAAAAAATTAATACGAAATATAAATTATGTTTTTCATATTTAATATATGATAATAATAAATCAAAATGTTTTATACATAAAATGTTGATCATAAATTCTGACCTGCATCTTGATAAACAAGCAAAGTGTCCTCCATTATATTATTGTCTTGTTCTTCTTTGCTTCTGGTAATTTGTCCGGTTATAAGCGAAACGCGTCCTCTTAATCTTGATATTTGTGTCAATAACATTAGCTTTGCATCGATCAAACTCAAAATAGGACTGAGTGATTCTCCAATATTTGGATGTGATAGGAAGTGTGCTGCATGCGTTGTTATCAATATTTGTAACCACATAGTAGCAATCTTACTCCTAAAATACATTATTTTTTGAATTGGTAAAATATTCTACGATTAACATAATAATAATTAATTGACAATAAAAGATATCTTACGGATATGTTTTGCCTTGTAACATTGCACATAATTCTTTAAGCAAAGGTGTTATTGCCTGGATAGGTAATTTGGCAATAGTGTTCCTAATTATTCTTTCATTTTTAGTAAATAATACATTATTTAATATTGTCCTATCTTTGCTGTTTAATCCCTGCATTAACAATTGTATCATATTAGCTCCTTTCGAAGGAGTCCTGCCTATAGCATTTGTTTCTACATTCAAACTAAGATTTTCCAATCTATCTTTCAAAGGTAATTGAGAGCCTGCTGAACTGGTTCTATTTCTTTTTATTGGTGTACTCCCTGTTCCTAAATATAACAAACATATTTAATTAAACAAATGAAAATAATTAAATTTTAACAAATAAATTTATATATTACCAGGCGCTAAATATTCTACATTATCTTCTGTAATGGTGGCTTTTACTTTTGTAACTGATTCTTCTTTCCTTTCTTTTGTTCTTTTTACTTCAGAACGTATTAAATACTGTATTTTATCTGAAAAGTCTGGTGTAACTTTCTCAAATGTCGGATTGATGTAAGAACCATATGCTAATAATAATTTTTCATTTTCTATCAATTTTGCCATAAGAATAGGAATCTGTTGTATAGTTTCTTTCTGATGTACATCCGAAGCAACTGCAATAGTCAGTGTAGGCTTCAATGGCTTAGAACGTCCATTAGGTTGATATTTAAAGATATGTGCTTGTCCTGACCTAGTAATGGCTAACACCATCACTTGAGACTCTTCATTCACATGTACAGAAACAGATAAAGCTTCATCTTGCATCGCTAATGTAGCCATAGGGCATTTATCATTTTTGGTCTAAATAAATTGAAAACGATATAATTAATAATAATTCTATCATACTGGATGAATCATATGAAACGGATTAGTCATATTTATTGCTTAGTTATTGATAAAAATTCCAATACAAGAAAAATATAAAATAAATAATTTTATAGACATTAACTATGAAACCAAATAATAAATATAATTTATCCATTTTATATAACTCATCTCACATAATTTTTATTGACATAAATGATAGTCTAATATATTGTATGACGTACTTCATCTAACGCCCATATACTAAGATATCCATCTTCACATGCTCCGCTGATTAAATAACTGGCGTTTTTGTTCACTGTTATTGGATTTAATGAAGTAACTTGACCAGCATGTCCAGTAAAAGTCCTAATGATTTGTTTTGTGGACAAATTCCACCATTTGATTATTCTTTCTGCAGAGATCATAGATTTTCCATCTTGCATCACTGCTAAGGCTGTAACTTTCGCTTTACCAGATTTCCACTTACACTTTATCCCATTTTCTTTAATATTCCATTCAACTATATGATAATCATCAGCGGCTGTAAATAAACCACAATTTGCCGACCAAGTCAAAGCTGTTACACATGAAGAATGGCCATTTTCTAATTGACCACAAACAGTAGCAGCTGCAGTATCATATAAAGTGATCTTTCCATTTACAGATCCCATAGCAATAATTCCTTTTTGTTCTATTTCTTCTGAGATCAACTTCCTTCTGCGTTTCTTCCATGGTGAGAGCTAAAATGATATTACAAAGAACTCTATTAATATAAGATTTATTGAGAAACAATAAAATTATTATACATTATAGTATAATGAAATAGATTTTCTTAAATATTCTTTGTAGAGCTAATATAACCTAAATTTATCCTGTTACAAATATTTATTAAATCAAAAATCTCATAATTATCGAAGAAATGAAACTTTATATATACATAGTTGTTATAAAAATTATTTATAAGAAACAATTATACAAAACCAATGGCAAATCAAAATAAATATACTTATTGACATAATTAAATTGAAAAATAAAAACCACATGGCATACCGACGTGCTTGTTGCCTGAGTATTTACGGAGATCCAACATAAGACACTACATGGCGAATAAAGATGTAAATTTGGTACGTATTCTTGCTTGAGTCTGCTCGTTGCTACCTCCCAAATCTTCAATTTTCCATCACTGCCACAATAAGCAAAATATTGACCGTCTTGAGAAAACGTGGTACAAGCCGCGTTCGCCATTTTGACCGCTACTATAACTGCCTCTATATCGGCGTCGTATAATATGTAACTATTATTTTTAAATTTCAAGTATCAGATTATATATAAATTTCAATAGAAGTATGTTAATAATTATGAACATCTAGTTTACATTTTTAAATTTATTGATAAAATAGAAGAAATAAGCTTTCAACGCTTACACGTTTCAACGTATATTTTACAACGTTTATACGTTTCAACGTATACTACAGAACGTATACACGTGCTAAATTTGACTCGCATAGCCAATCGCTTCTTATCCCTACTTTTTCTTTTGTTTCTCTTTAAGGTTTCTCACTTCCACCACATACGAATTACTCTGTAGGAGCTTTACGGTATTATATTCTATTTACAAATAAAAGATTTTAACATCTTAAAACGCCTGTCTCTTAGCCAATTTTAATTCCTATTAATGTTTCATTTGTTCATTGATAATATTTATACTTTATTCTCATTGGTTAAAATACTATAGTATACATATAGCTTTCTATAATTCAATTATCCAATTGCGTTGTCTATATAGATGTGAAAACGTTCTCATTGGTCATTGTGATATTATAATTACGTTCATCAAAAGATGGCCGACATGTTTTGTCGCAAGTATCGTCTGCTAGTGTCAAATTTACGATAATTATTTTCATAAAATTAAACAATTGAATTTCTTAAATACAAAATAATTCTTTTTTCCTTTGTAATTAATATCGTTCCTAATAACTTTATCAAATATGCTAATCTGTGATTTTATTTGTTTACTAACACCTTTATACTCATATTTTCATCAGGCAGGTTCGCCTTCTGGATACTAGATACTCATTGTAGTCAATTTATTACGGTTGATTCCATGTTTCTTTAAGATTTTAAATATATTATATTTTGTAATTTTTCTGCGTAATAGTCATTTTAGAGGATTGTGTAGGAAACGTTATCTTTTGAATGGCAAAGTTCTTTTGCTTTTAAAGTGAAAAAAATCATTATCATCGTTTATGTAATACTGTCTATTGTAGAATTGATCATTGTTATTTTACAGTATATTAAATAGGAGAGATTGTTTATCAAATGAATAGTCTTAAAAATAATGAAAATATAATATCAATTTAATTTATGAGTGAAATATAAAAGATATGATATCAAAATGGTTAGTATATATATTTATATTTTTTGTATATTTATATTATTTTTGTATATCAATATTAACATAATTTTATTATATTTTCTATAGCCAATGATAACGCATGACGTTAAACTACCAGCTGTTGTTCCAGAATTATTATTAGAAAAGCATGCAGATTATCTTATTGCTTATGGAAACAATAAAGATGAATATGTAAGTAATACTTACATTTAGCCCTTTAGGCACTACGCGCCACTTCCTGCTAGATACTCTTGTAGGATACACCATTATGGATGCTTCTCAATAAGTAACATTTTAAGACAAATAACTACTACAGTGACTGAAATTCTTATCTGAAACTTGTATGCATTAATGTTACAATCAACAAGGGTTAAACAAAGGTTGAATTGGTTGAATTTTCACTTATTAACTTTTCAGACTTACTGTATGACAGAACATGTACGAATGTCTGGTATATATTGGGGCCTTAATGCATTAGATTTAATGGGTAAACTTGATCGTACCAATAAAGAGGAAATCTTAGAATTCATCAGACAATGTCAAAGTGATAGTGGTGGTATTTCTGCTAGCATACAGCATGATCCACATTTACTTTATACACTTAGTGCAGTTCAAATATTATGCCTTTATGATGCATTAGATGTAGTAGATAAAGATAAAATCGTTAAATATGTTAAAGAAAGGCAACAACAAGATGGTAGTTTCACTGGTGATATCTGGGGTGAAGTAGATACTAGATTTTCCTTCTGTGCAATTGCTACTTTATCACTTTTGGTAAGAAATTTTTTAATGTAATGTGATAACAAATTTATAAATCTAAAATTTATTTTCTCTATATATTGCAAACCTTTACAAAATATTGACCTTGTAATTTCAGAATCGTTTAGATGCTATAGATGTGGAAAAGGCTGTAGAATTTGTAATTAAGTGTATGAATTTTGACGGGGGATTTGGTTCTAAGCCTGGATCTGAAAGTCATGCTGGTTTAGTTTATTGTTGTGTAGGACTTTTATCGATAACAGGTAATGCATGTTACAATGGATATAAGAAAACATATATGTATATACAAGTTTTCATATACAAGTTATTTTTTTATATCTAGGACATTTGCATTTAATAGATGCAGATCGTTTAGCTTGGTGGTTATGTGAAAGACAACTTCCATCTGGTGGTCTAAATGGTAGGCCAGAAAAACTACCAGATGTATGTTATTCTTGGTGGGTTCTCTCTACACTCACAATTTTAAATCGTCTTCATTGGATAGATAAAAAACGTCTAGTAAGTAATTAATGTAAGAAAATGATATCATTAAGTAAAACAAAAAGGTGTGCAAATATCTTTATTTCTTGTACTACAGGTAGATTACGTTTTGACGTGTCAAGATATTGATAGTGGAGGCTTTGGTGATAGACCTGGTGATATCGCTGATCCTTTTCATACATTATTTGGACTTACTGCATTATCGTTATTGCATACTGATTATCCATTGAAAGACGTAAATCCAACTTATTGTTTACCACAATATGTAGTAGATCGTTTAGGACTCGTACCAACACGAGTGGATATATGATTCCATACATATATACATTGCACAATTTAAAAATAAGTTTAAATTATGTAACATTTAATTGTATTACATTTATGTATTATAAATCATCCATTATAAATCATAATGGAAATGGAATATAATTTTTTATGTACGACACTATCTTTTCTCTTTCCTATAGAATAACAAATTTTATTCCAAGAAAAGAGAATGAAATAGATTATTAATAATACGTTGCAAGAGTTTACATGATGAATGATCACAATTTCTGTCCGATTTTAGTTATCAAAGACTCATTCGAAAGATAAAGATATTTTATACGAGGTTATCTTATCACATTTTTGGAAGGTGTTAGATGTTTTGCAAAGATTATGTGTAATAAAAAATAATTTCCAAGAGTAGTTTTATTATGCTTGTTTATTTCTTTCATGCGCATGCACCGCTTATTTGGGATTGATCGCTTCATAATTAATTGAATAGATTTAAGCATATCCTGTTTCAACTGTTTAAAATAATATTCTATTATCTGTGCGATTACTAAAATTCTACAATTATCAAATATTTGTACTTGATCGATAAAAAATTATTATTATTTTATACTATTATCTACTCAAAAAATAAAACGGCAAAAATTAGACGAAATCTACTATAGCAGATCTTTTTCATTCCCGATAAAATAGATATCTTAATATCGAATGATGGTAAAACAAGAATCTACATCAACGACTTATGATATAAAGGAATCTACTTTATCGAAGGTCATTAAAAAGATTTTTCCATACAGGTTGGTGGTTAAATAGGAATATGCTTTACCGACTGTTGATAAAGTAAGAATCTAGTTAACCATCAGTCAGTAATAAAGGGCTCTGTTTACGATTTTTGTCCAAAAGTAGATTTCTTTGTTGTTGATGATCCAACGCAGAGAAAAAAAGGAAGTAAAGAAAAGAATTCCAGGGGATGCGAAGAATGGCGTACAAACTTGAGAATTATATAAATGAGAACGAGAGGTGAACATCTTGAATATCGTTCTGTCCGAGCATATTCAAAGTACTCAAATGAAGTTCGAATTTTCTCCATTGAAACAAGTATATTCTTATATATATTTAAATACATGTTTCTTCTTCTTTTTCTTCTAATTATTATTATTATTATTATTATTATTATTATTTTTATTTTTATATATTATTGAATTATATATAATTATTATTATAGTAATAGTCGTAATAATATAAGATAGACTATTACATAAGGGGAAACCACTAAAAAGTAGCGCTGAGATTTCTTCATCATAGATAATATGAAAACGAGCTTATGGTTTAATTTTTATTAAAATAATATATAACATATGAGTATTCTCTAATTATTATATTTGATGAAATAACTAAAAAAATCACTGAGCGAGACAATTCTGATTCTCCATGTGAGCATTGTGAATGCGTTTTTTTGCGTTTTGAACAAAGAAAATCCGAGCTTTAATTTTCGCACACAAATAAAAAGGTAATCGGCTAATTTATGGAAACAAAACATTAACTTCTCAAGCGTATATATGAAAATTATAATGGAGCTTCGTTTTTTACCGCAGATTTCATTATACTAAAAATATTGAAAATATCAACAATGAACTATTCAAAGAAAACAAAGTTTCTTTAAAAGTTTGAAAAAACGATTTCCTCGTTTAAATCTTTATTTTTAAAATGAGTTCCTGTTTATCAAAATCGATAAAAAATTACGTCGTAGATTCATTGCTAGTGTAAAACTTTTTAAAATCTGAATAATTAACAGATTTAACAAAAATAAAATTTTATTTGGATTCTCATAGAAGGAGCTATTTGTAATGAAAGGAAATGAATAAAATAAATGAAAATAAAATAACTAAATACACAGAGTAATAGAAAAGCTTAATGAATTATCAAGTATCGTGAGTTCTATGATATCGTATTCAATCGGTCCACGTTTCTGACGGTAGTGAAAGTGCACACGTTCGTATGTACCCCACCTTTGACGATGAATAAACGTGCGTGCGCGGACATATTGACGTTAACTGGCCTAAGACCGGCCCGCGTAAAATGAAGCGGGGCAAAACGCGTTAGTCCCCGAACCAAGAAACTTCTCAACACAGAAAAGACAAATAGTTGTTCTTCGTCGATGTTAACGGGCCGTCGAATATTCTATCGAAATCGTATTGGTATAATATTAAAAGAAACATTAATCTTTCAACATCGACAGAGTTAATCAAGAAAATTTATTATATTTATTATAGTCTTCCGTTCTTGATGGACCAATCCTCGAACGGTGCGGCTTGTTATCTAATCGAAAATAATTTCCTTTAAACCACAATTCATAGTCGTGTCATTAACTGCTTAACGATCTTGTAAATCGTCTCCCTTAATCATCGTTTATAGTCATCAGTGGTCGGTCACGTGCGTTTTGCTCGATGTAATTATTTTGCGATGTCAACGAAGTAACGTACGACGACAGAAACGTGAAACATTGATCGTGTATGAAGTAATAATAATATATTATATATATGTGTATTTATTTATTCGTTGAGTAAATGTAAAAGAAATATTATTAGATTATAAACCGATCGACACGTTAATACGACGTATGAAGAACGAAGAAATCTGAAGAAATAATGAATCGGAAAATGAGAATTATTTTAGCAGATCTATTTCTATTTGTAAGTATTGAATGACTTGATTGATTGATAAAATAATTGTATTGTTTTATTAATGATATTTAAAGTATAAGAGGGTATAAGAATTATTTTTTTTTTTATTAATACTTTTGTCGTACATATTGACTACTATTGTTTTCATTGCGAGTTGCAAATTTAGTTTATTATAAACTTTACGTCGCATAGGAGAGAGGCTCATAATTATAATCATTTTTCATTACTTGTTTTCTTAGCGTCCATACGACAATCGATGAGTCGCTAATAGCTTTGGCGATGTCATGCGATGAGTCAAGGGAAAGAAAGATCATTAACGTAATACGAATTACTCCGTTTTGTATAGAGACGTTACATCAGAACTCGATTTTATCAATAATAAAAAAAAAAAAGAAAAATAAAAAGAAGAAACATTTGCAATTAGAAATATATTTTCGTTTAACCGAATTTAATGGAAAATACGATAATCATTAACAGGGAATACATTGACAAATGATTCAAATGTTCATCGTCTTATCGTTTCATATCTATTCTTTTCTTTTCTAATATCTTGCATGTATTCTTTTTATCCTTAACAAGAACGAGTCTGCTTAATAAAGAAACCATAATGATATTAACATCTTAATCATTATAAGTTCGTGATTTGTATTCACCTCAGCAATGATTATAACGAGATATTCGAGCGAGTTTATATCGTTGAATCCGGGTTGAGTCACTCTTGGTTTCATGAAGATGAAACGACCTTGCAAGCGGCCAAAGACACTTTAAAAGTAATGAGCCTTCAAATCGACAGAAAGAACGACATCCGTCGTGTCTCATCTATGTTCATTGTAGCCCCGAAATCTTTTTTGTATTAATATAGATATGTTTAAATATAAATTAATTGTATCAATTTAAACCGAATAAGCGAGATGAAGAACTAAAGAAAAAAGTAAACGTAACAAAAAAAAAAAGAAAAATAAAAAAATAAAAAGAAAGAAAAAAAGAAAATTACGAAAGAAGAAATTAGACCGAAAATATTATTTTCATGAGCCTTTCAAAAATCGTTTCATATTTTATATAACATTAATTTTCATATTAATGATTTAATATCTATGTAATAAATGAAAAAAAAAATCGTAAGATATTTTTAGGCGGAACACGGGGTGAACCTTGTACGGAGTACGGTTGTCCTGGACGACCACAATACGAACCGTTCGTTCCAGCACCTCCAGGACACACACCGAGATGCGCCAAGCCAGGACAAACGTTTTGTGAGTCTTTGGATCATTATCCTCAGTAAGTAGAACGCAAGTGAAAATATAAATGATTCATCTCAACTGAACACATAAAAAGATATGATGTCACTGACTTCGGGTAAAATCGAACGATGAACTATTACCTTTTTCGGTTAACCTTACTCGAGAGAAAAAAAAGTGAAGAATGATAAAAAGGAGAAAAAAAATTTAAGTCAGGCCCGGTTCCAAGTATTGAAATTCTTACGAACGTTTCCGAATATCGTGCGGCATACGAATGATCTCCGTGCGTGTCAAATCTTCCTTCCCGAAGGGAAAGTCACGGAAGAAATGGTGCCATAATTCGATATTCTTAACGTAATTTTATTTATGCCTTTACCTTTTTTCCTTTTATCCTTTTCTCGATATTTTTGCTAAAATAGAGGAAAAGGAAGAGAAAGAGAGGAAAAGGAAGAGAGGGAGAAGAAAAGGAAAAGGGAGAGAGAGAGAGAGAGAGAGAGAGAGAGAGAGAGAGAGAAATTGAAAAAAGAAGAAATTTGATTCGTATAAAATCGCGTAACTATTATGTAAAGAGGAACGAGGTCGAAGATACAAAGTTATCATTACGTACGAGCACGATATCATCCGTGAGTTTCGTAGTATGATCATCGGACCATGACCGTGGCCTTGATGTGGTCATGCTCAACACCTGTCGAGATAATTATCGAATCCGTTACGAAAACGATACTCTTTTAAAAAAATTGATCCCTTTGTATATATTTATTGTTAATTTATTTTTCATTCAATTTTTTGTTCTCTTTCTTTTTTTTTTTATTCGCTTAACTTAATAAGTGCATATAAATTTTGCGATACTTCGATTATAAATAACAAAAATGAATAGGATTTTATTGCTCGAATATTAATATCATTTCTCAATTTTTTATTCATTTTTCATTATCATTAGTCACGCATTATTCTGTCTGTCCTATATTATTAGCACATGGATAGAAATTCATTTGCTTAAAATAGTTTCGAGAATAAAAATGGGCCTGAAAGATCTATCGATCCGACAAAGATAGAAGACGGAAAGGAATTTCATAACGAAATTTCTCACGATGTTTTGTACCTCATGTAGACATGATAGAACATGGCCTGGTTTCAACTATTACATCCAAGATGTATGTATAGCTAGGCTAGTCAATATTATTATCTCACGTGGCAAAGAGACAGGAGTCTGTTGGGAAAGAAAATCCATGCACGTTCAAGGAACTGTGTCTATTATATGGTCTTTGAAAGTGTATTTTTCTAACACATACACTCTTTTTTTCTCTCTCTCTCTCTCTCCCTCTCTCTCACTTTTTTAATTGAATATAATACTATTTCTTAATGTAGTTGTTTCAGATACATTCTTAGCTAGTTCGTAAGAAATTTAATTCAATTGTAATATATTTTACGACGTCATAATTCTTTTCTTTTTTATTTTTTCTTTTCTTTACAAGCGCATCTAATTTAATAAGTTTATAAACAATATCATAACAATTCATTTCTTCGTAATTTTGTTATATTTTCAAGTTAACACAGTTCATTTAAAAATGTATCTTTCCAATGGCCTTAAAATAAATTCATGCATAATTTATATAAATCAAGGTGTGACAATGTTCGATCTATATATTTTTTTTTTTTTTTTTTTTTTTTTTTTTTTTTTTTTTTTTTTTTTTTAATTGAAACTTCATAAGAGCAGCTCAATTACTTCGATGTATTATTTTTCAACGCCTACGACTTCCTTCTAAACGTGACAATCACTCAATGAAGAAATAAATTCATCGTGGTCACTATTCTTAGACCGATACATAGTGAAAGGCCATGCTTTCTTACTGCTTCGGAGAAGCGCGTATCTCTAGTCGACCTCCTTCTGATTCTTGCGGAAATAAATAAAAAGAAGTTGTGAATATTTTTAACAAACGAAACGGTAATCGAACGTGTATGCAATCACAAGTAAAATATTTCTAGCTTGTAAGAAGAGATATTTTGGTTAAAGAAATATCAATATTGAGTATTCATGAGTATTCGTGAATCAAACGAATTTGAAAGATTAATTCGAAGATATTCGAAAAATTAAGAAGACATTATTAGAAAAACGTTAGAGTAGAGAAAAAGAGAGAGAGAGAGAGAGAGAGAGAGAGAGAGAAAGAGAGAAGGCAAGAGATTAAAGATTATTCTCGATTACGGTCAACCGTGATCGAAGAATACCGAGGTTGTATAACGGTCACGAATGAGAGAAGAAAATACATTATAGCTGTCGGCTATGAATTAAACATCGGAAACACCTTTTAACGATGTTTCTCGCTTCGGAGAAAGTTTAAATATCTATGTACAGCATACATCTTCGATATACTCAATTCGTTTTACGTAGATAACATTACGAATTTCTTGCCCTATCAATTTTTTACCGTCGAATCTTTTTTTCTCCGATAGATGCCGTCGACAGAAAGAAGTCGTCAACTTTTTGACCCGATAGTTTTGAAAGTCTATGAGACGTTCACAATATGGAACGTGTACAGACATTTCTTTTTCTTCTTTTTCTGATCGCTAACGATTGAAATTCGAAATTAGCATATGTAATGTTTGTGTTGAGAATACGGTCGAAGTCTTTTGAATTTTTATAATCTTTATAAAAAATTGCTTCCATTGTCTTATCTTCTTTTTTTTTTTTATATTACAGACAGCTTATAAAATTCCTCGTCGATAAGTGTAGTTTTGACTTCAGTACGGCATTGAGAGATGAGTCTCATGAAGATTTCAATGCTTACAGGTTTGTGAACATATATGAGTATTATGTGAATAACAGAATAATATTATAAATATATCTATTTATTTAATAAAATAAATGATCATATCAGTTCATCACCTGATTATCATCAAGGCTACGAGTATCCACGGCAAGATACCCCTACCTTATATTCACAGCCTTTGCCTATTTTACCGTCTCACTATCCAGTAGGTAGGCAACCAACTTTAATATATGGGCCACCATTTAATAGTACTCATCATAATGGGTAAATATAAGCTTTTATGTTTTGCTTTATGTATGAATAATATGAAATGCAATGAAATTATATTAACTCAGATACAAATATGCGGCACCTTCAAGACATGAGAGAAATCCACTTTTGGATATAGAATCTTCAACGAAGTATCATCCACAACAACACTCAGAATATCCTATATTTTCTCAAGCGCCATCTTTGAAATCATTCAAGCAGGATCGAACGTGGTGGATGAACAATGGGTGAGACATTTATAAAGATTGTATTTTTGAAGAATTGATGATTTTATCGCGAGCTGTGTTTCGATTCAGATATGTACGTAGCAATAAAATGGCACCACAAACGTTCCACGAGAATCCGCTCTTACAGTATGTGAACCTGAAAACGGAACGAACGAAGAGGCAAGTGAATACGGATACTGTCGCTCTTTGTCCAACTGAAGCGCAATACATCACACCAAAAGCTGCCCTTAACAATCGAGGTAACTGGATGTATGTCGTTAATCTTGCAGAACAGGACGACAAATACTCACAACTCGTCAAAAGTGAAAAGTGTTCGTAAGTAAATATATCATATTTTTTGTTTTTAATACTTTATAAGCAATGAGAGTTTTTATATATACTTTTATTTTTCATAGAACAAACACTTGCAATGGTTTATGCTCTCTTCCTGCTGGTTATACGAGCACATGCCAACAACAATTTGTGCAAAAGAGACTGGTTGCATTAGAGGGAAGCGGAAATCGACTTTACACTGATATTTTTTGGTTCCCACATGGTTGCTCATGTCATGTTAGGTTTAACGGCTTATAAAAATAACATATTTATTAATGAAATTTAAATAATTACAATAACAAAGGAAAAAGAATATCATCATAAATTCCACCATTATCAGTATCATTATCACTACATTATCCTAGTGAAGTCAATAATAAAGTATAGTATGAATAATTTAGTTATAATTAGAGTGATAGATATTCCGAGAAGGGTAAAAAACTATGATAATATTGTGATCATATTTAATAAGATATTACTAAAAATCAATGTAAGCAATAATAGCAAATTATTAATTTACCGATAGTTAACATCACCAATGCGATACACAAAACAAATGGAAACTACTGTACTATTTTGTAAGGTTGATCAACTATACGGTCGATAAAACAGTTCCTTACTATTATCAATAAATTGCACGGAAAATAGAACTGTATTATTACTATATTTGATTTACAAATCAGGACTTTATTATCAATTGATAAAACAAAAATCTACTATTACTGCCTGATGACAAAACAGGGATCTACTTTAGTAACTTATAGTAAAAGAAGGATTTTTTTAACATTACCTAGTGACTAGACAATCTATTGTTGCAGCTGTTTAGTAAGTAAAACAGAGATCTGCTATTACCGCCTGCTCGATTTACTGAGGTTATATCGATCAGTATAACTGCGCCCTGCCATATGACTTATAAGACTAATTTTTAGGGTGATTCATATACTTTTAGTATAGGATACTATTGTTGGAAAGTTATAAAATAGATATATTAATATTTATAACAACGAAAGAGAGAGAGAGAGAGAGAGAGAGAGAGAGAGAGAAAGAATACATTTTAGATTTTTTCAATATAATAGATTGATTAAGAACATTTCAGATATTAATCCATATTGTCGATCTAAGTACTTGTGAAATAATGTTTAGGATGCAAGATTATTTGAAGAGTGATCTTATTGTTTCATTTATCATTACACTCTCCCTTATCATTTTCCAAATTCAGGGGAGCAGTTTTATTTTGTCTTCTCACTGGTCTTCGTTTCTCTTGCTACTCAATAATGATTATCACAGAAACGCGGAAATGAGTTCGTTGAAGTAAAAATAAGGGTTTTGATTTCATCGATTGGATAAGGAGAACGTAAAGGTAGCGAAAGAAGGAGAACCAGAGCAGGTCAAGCACGCGCAAGGCAGAGTTTTCACGCGTCGGGAGCACGCACCCCGTCCTTTTCACGCACTGCTCACCTTCTCGGCCGTTGACGCACATACGATCCATGTTGCTGATGCCCGTATCGTTGTTTCTACACTTTCGAATTATGTGTCCCACCATGATCGCAAGATACTTTTTCTCTAACAGATTTTACACTACATTAATTTTTATTTTAATGGATCAACAATTTCATGACCTTGCTTATGATTTTTTATTCGTTTCTTAACTAAGCAAATCTTTTTAGCTAATGACTAATTGAAATCCAATCAGTCTAATACAAAATAATAATATATTTTCTGATATTCATTTTTACAATTGTACAAGTTGTGTACTTTATCTTATTGAAAAATATTTCTTTTATACGATTACCTCCATTATCAATGGATGATAAGTTGATCTTATGACGATCGTTAAATTCAATACCGATTACAGCAGATCCACCTTTGACTTATTCAAGAAAAATTAAATAAATAAAGCAAAAAAGCTTAAGTATGGCTCGTAAAAGGAACTCGATCGAAAGGAACGTTTTACTAGCGATTTTCACGGTTTCTCCCCTTGGCAACGACAGACCGCACACGCGTGCACTTTGCCAAGTACAGAGAGAAAGAAAAAGAGAAAGAGAGAGAGAGAGAGAGAGAGAAGTACTAAAAGAAAGAAAAAGAAAGAGTAGTACTAAGAGAAAGAAACGTAGGCAATGTCTACCCCCGTGTAAAGAGAACGTAGAAAGGAAAAAAGCTAGGAGAAGCTCGTGTGCTCTGGAAAGCCAACTCCGTTGCAGGAGGAAAAATTGAAAGGCCTCCTCCGGTGTATCCTCTTTCTCTCCCTTCCTCTCGTCCTTTTCCTCTCTCTCTCTCTCTCTTTCGTAACGCATATACCAACAACATATACGCACATACCAACAACATATAAGTGCATTCTATAGATTTCGTTCCACTCCGTAGAACATGTACTCGTACGATACGTACGTGTCGTATTCACTCGAGACCACCTCTTTCCCTCCAACCTACCCTCGAAACTCACCCCACCTACCCTGACTACTCCTTCTGCATCCTCCTTCCTCACCCTTCTCCACCTGCGAGGAGGAGTAAAATGGGGTGGATTTCCTAGGCACGTACGATACGCACCTCTACACGTGCGATATGTGCACTTATCCTCTCTTTTCCACCCTCCCAGTAGCAACCAACTTGCTCATTCCACCCTCTCTCATACCCCTCCCCCCTCTCTCTCTCTCTCTCTCTGTCTCTCTCTTTCTCTCTCTAAAAACCAGCGCGTAATCCAGCGTACATGCATGTGTAATTTCATAGGTGTATGGTACCGAGGCTACTTGAAGGGTTTCCATCTATATGCGTACACGCACCCCGAGTGAGGAGCACACGCACGTTTCTAGAGAGAGGATGAAGAGAGAGAAAAAGAAAGACGATGTGTGTAGGGAGTCAAGTCCTCGGGACTCTCCATGTGTATGTATATTTTTGTTCGCTCTCATAGTAATAGGCCAAGCGTGTACCTGCGCACGCAATTATCCTGTAGAGAGTGCCGTCGGGAGCCTTCGAGAAGAGCGGAAGGAGGGAACTATGTTTCCCTCTCTTTCTCTTTTTTCCTTCTCAAGGCTAACGGCAAATTGCAAATTTCGAGTGCGTTCCCGCGACTTCATTTTTTTACGAGCTCCTGTCTGCCTCTAGCGAGCTTCTCCCTTTTCTTCGTCGTTAGTCTATCTCTTTCTTTCTCTCTCTCTTTCATTCTTTTTCCGCCTTCTTTCCTTCTTTCTCTTTTTATCTCGCGTTCCTTTTTAGATTCTACCCCTTCTTGTGAGACAGACTAGGGTAGCGACGAGGGAGTAACTTGGCTATTCGACTTTGCGATAGAATATGCTTGGACAGACCGTTTTCGATCACGAGATCGCTGTGTTCCTTTTATCGATTCCCTTTTTCTAAAGATCTTCCTTAGCCAAAATTAATCAGCACGTCAACATTATCCAAGTACATTTTTTATTTATAAATGAAAAATTGTCGCGTATTTAAATTAATCTTTACTAATTTAAAATTAAAATACTTTAATTTAATGCAATGAGTTTTCTTTGAATTATGCTAGAGTTCCAAATTTTATAGTCAGCGAGGATCAAGCTCATCTATTTTTTAACCGACCCTATCTCTCTTTTTCCACCTTTAAAATATCTTCCGTACTACCGTTAGCACCAAGGCCAATACCAAAGCCACCCTCTAAGGGGGTAAGTTGCGCTGTAATCTCTTGGCCAAAAGTCGATGGTCCTTTTTCCCCTCTAACTCCTCTCCCATCGTTCTTTCTGCCCTCTTTCACTCTCTCTTTCCACAATTCACCAGGCATACCGTCGAGCGCCGGGATAAAGTCACGAGCAGTAATTATGAACGATAGTAGGGGAGAGAGAGGATATAATTGTGATTGATGGAGAGACGAGAGGAGAGGCTAGCAGGGGGAGATGACTTCCTTTTAATCTCGAACCTAACCCTTGCACTCGATCCATTGCTGTTTCTGTCCGGCATGATTCGATGCGATTCCATTACCTTCGAGACTGAAATCTCTTTGCAAAAATGAAACAAAAAGAAAAGAAGGAAAGAAAAGATATACGTATGTCAACGGATAAAAACATCGTCAGGTTACTAACGTTGAATATAAAAAGGTATAAAAAGAGCGAAAGAGAGAGAGAGAGAGAGAGAGAGAGAGAAAGAGTGAGAGAGAGAGAGAAAGAGAGAGAGACAGTTAGACAGAAGAGACGGTATCCTTGTTCGGTTTCGATCATTCGTTTTAAGAGGATTTGTAGAGATAAAGCATTCTTCTTAGCCCCTCGTTTACATCCGAACACCGATACTTGTTTCTCGAGAGGAACAAGATCGTTCATGATAGCGGGTGGTACTGTATTGTTGGTGTTGGTGAGAGATTTAATTTGACCCACTTCCGGTTCTCTACGATGACACAAACAGGCTCCTAACTGTGCGGTCAGATAGGTCAAGTTTACGAGATAGCCCGATTCTCCGTAAACCCTTTCGGCTTAACCCGAAACACATCTCGTGGTCTTCTGTTTTGCTTTCAGTGTAGAGGGAGAGAGAGAAGGAGAGAAAGAGAAAGAGAGAGAGAGAAAGAGAGAGAGAGAGAGAGAGAGAGAGATAGAGCAAGAGAGCAAGAGAAAGAGTGAGGGTTCCTCCACCAATCTACCTCTTTCTCCCTCGCTCTCGCATGTTTGCTTCGATTCTCTCCTTCCTTCTTTCGCTTGTACTCACTCACCACGGTCGACCCACCCGCTGCGTATCGGAGTACCTGCCAACCCTACCGACGACACCTGTGTAACACTTTCGCGGGCCGTAACCCAACGATCTCTGCGTTTCCTTTTTTTCTCTCTTCTTTTTTTACTTCGCTTCACGATTCGCGCCATGCCTCGCTAATCAAAAGGATCCGGAGCTGGGCGTGGGTGCTGCCGGAAGATCAATGATGCGCTTTTATTTTTTCTTTTTTTTCCTTAACTTTGAACGAAAGGTATTTGCTAATGAAAATAAGAATTTTCTTATGCTTTCTAATTTTTTTTTTTTTTTGTTTTTTTATTGATTCAATACTTTTAAATACAACAGAAAAAGTAAAGTTGGGGAATCGATAAAGACATAGAAATAAAAAGAATCTAACAATTAATTGAAATTTATTTTATCATCTATCTGATACATTTATTTCCGGGATGAATCATAAGCGTTAAGAAGGATAAATCTTTCATCGTAATTATTACGTATGACAATTGAAAAATACGTGAGACAATATATAAATACTAATTGCACTGATTATTTCAATAGCATCTGTTTGAGGAAAGAATGAAGGAACAATGGAAAAAATTTGGATGCCTGATGTGTACTAAAAAATTGTGAACTATTTAGAAGACGATTTCAATTAAATAAAATAGAGAACAATGTTTGCGAATTTTCTTGAGTTACTTATCGTAATTGAAAATTAGATAAAAAATAAAAAAGGAATAATAAGGCGGTGAATCGATCGAGAAGTTTAAATCGAAGTTAAAAAAAAATAACGAAGGTTAGAGATCAGAAAGGAAGGAGAGAAATTTTTCTCAAAAAAAGAAAAGAGAAAAAGAAGATTGGAGTTGGACTTAAGGAAGGTATGGAACGGGGTTGGTACATAGAAGCAACCGTGCCACGTGCTCCTGGTTCGTTCCTTGCGTTAACTTTGCAGGGCATCGATCGCTCCTGCGAGAGTCGCGCACGCGGTCGCATGCGAGAGTTTCTCTTCTCGTGGCTCCAACACACAACACATATATACATACACACACACACATACACACACACAATATACACCAATCGAATCACTATGTACATTCTCCCTATTCTATACATACATATATAGAGTAATACGAATACGAATCAAACAAATACACGTAAGCTCATGTACACACATTCACAGTTTTGCTCATGAGCGCGCGCTCGCGCGCTGGCGCACGAGGGAGCACGCACTTACGCACGATCGAGGCAGATCGTTCGCTCGTTGTGCGTGGCGCGCAGCGTTTCCATGACAACCGCTGCCAGTGCCACGCATTGATCGCAGACTCCCGGTGCGTCAAGTCGAGTGCGTAGAAACGAACCTTCTAAGAGAGAGAGAGGATACTCGTAGGGTGAGAGACGAAGGGAGAGAGTGAAAGAGAGAGAGAGAGAGAGAGAGAGAAAGAGAGTACACGTATGCGTAGAAAGAAGCACGCACCGGAGGAAATCTACGGACGAGTTGCTACCGAACTGAGAGAGAAAGAGAGAAAAAAACTGAGAAGAAAAGGGATCGAGTACTTTAAAGAGAACATTTTTCTTTTCCTCTCTTTCTGTCATTCTTTCGCTTTTTTACAATTTTTTTTTTTTTTGCAGACCTTTTTTCTTTTTGCTCCGAGAGCAATCGCGGAAGAAGAAGAAGGAAGTGTCCGGGGTGGTTTTTGATTTGCAGAACGGACGGGAAGCAGATAACGTTTGTTTAACATCAGGAGATTAAAATGTTTTCATGTAAACGAGGAAGGAATGAAGAATTTTCTTTTTACTTTGATTGATAATTCGGATAGTATCTAACTATGAGAAATTCGTTCGTTCTTTTGTCTTAAATATTTTTACTATGGAATATCGATGAATTATTGAGTTCCTCTTAATTTCAGATCAATTGTACATTATGTATCTGATAATCAAGAAATTTTCAACCTTGTACGATTTATTTCAATATCATTGATTGCGATTATAAATTATTACGTAAATTGTTATTATACTGTTCGTACGTATACGCACCTAACCATATTTGTGTATAAACAAGAAGATACTTTGTTCACGTTTTTTCTATTTACAATAACAGACAGAGAAGGAGAAAGAGAGAGAGACCTCTTTTTCCGGTAAACGAAAAACGGTGAGTAGAGGGGAAGGTCGCTCACGCGAGCCGTTCGTCCTGACCTTCGAATCCAGTCTTGACAATGCCATGCTAGGACCTTGTAGCCGGTCCTACAGGCATAGGCGCTAAGAAAAGTAGTTGTCACAAAGGATCGCGAGCTTCGAGACTTCCACGCATCATGTCTTGGGAGCCACGTAGTATTAAGCGTCGCCATTGTGAGAAGAAATTCGAGGCGTAAGCTCACCGTACCTGGACCAACGATTATTATTTGCCTTTAGACCAACGTACGAAAAGCTACACTATTTTCTATTCTTCTTGTGGCTTTGGAGGGTTTAAAATGTCCTTTTCCATGACAAATCCTATTTAATTGTCTAGTAAAACCAGTGGAAAAATGAGATCACAAAATGTCGACTAGAGTTCATAGTAGCATTCGCTACTGTTTCATTTGGTAAATATATTTTAACGAAAAGGATTTGAAAGACGATAATTAACGTTAGGCAATTATAATCATTAATACTATTATTAAATGTTATTAATACTTTAAGTAATAATATCGAGTAAACTCATTATTTGGGTCATTCTTATCTGCGTATAATTTAAATGAACTCGATTATGCGATTGAGAAATAGAAAGCGTCAAGTTTCGAAGAAAGTGGATGACGAACGATACAGTAGACACTGAAGATATCGGCAACGCGCTCGTGAACGTGCCAAATGGTGTTCCTCTCCGCGAGAGCAATAATTCATGGTCGTAACTTCCTCCGCATCTGTGCTCTCCCATCCTGTAGAAAGAGAGAAAGAGAGAGAGAGAGAGAGAGAGAGAGAGAGAGAGATAAAGATAGATAGATAGATAGATAGATAGAGAGAGAGAGAAAGAGAGAGAGAAAGAGAGAGAGAGAGAGATTCTGGGCCGTGATCCTGCGTGACGATACAAGCTGCATACTATCCAGATGCCACGCGTGGAGATTGTCTTTGGAAGGAAGAAGCGTGAAAAGAAAGAAAGAAAAAGAAAGATAGATACAGAAAGAAATATTCTTTAATCTCTGTCAGCCATAAGATAAGAAAGCTTCAAATCCAAAAAGCTATGGTTATTTGATTTGATTTATTTCATTTGAAAGAAATAGAGAGATTAAAGATCAAAAAATATAGTATATAAATTGTTTCTGATCATCGAAGAAAAAAAGTTGTTTTCATATGGTAAGAGAAAAAGTTGCTTGGCGGAAATTTGGGACAGCTGTTGACACGCTGGCCCAGAAAAGTCGGGAAAAGCGATTCTCGTGCGACCGACTATTTTCGTGGCTATTCTCTCTTTCTCTCTCCCTCTTTTTCACTATCTCTCAGTTGCTCTCTTTGTCAGGATGCGCGTGCGTCACTCCGAGCCACGTGGGACACGAACGGGAAGGATTTTCAAGGATAATGTCCTGATCCTGATCCACGCGTCCTAGATGAGCATGCGTGGATGGAACCTCATTGTTGAGATTAACGATGATAATTCTTCGTTTGTGATACGTGAAATTGTTTTTTCTTAAAAATTTTTAATTTTATTAAATCATCCGAGAATGGGAGCACCCTATAAAATCGTTATTATACGAATTTTTATTTTATGATTTTTATGAGAATAAAGCAACAACAATTAATTATAGAAGGTATTACAAAAGGCGCCATCAAAGCCATCAAATTTCCATCAATTTGGAAAGCAATATAAAACCTGATGAATTTTTTTTCTATCTCTACAGAATTTCTCATTAAGAACTTTTTCTTGTGTGCTAGTAAATTCTGAAAAGATCCGCTCACACTTTCTAAGATCGGTAACTGCCCCGTTAACCGCAATGTTACCAGGGTGATCACCCCATTATCGTCCAGCATTGGTCTTACCCTCGGCTCGACACCCCAGAATCCGGATTCTACCTCGGTAGAGCAATTTCGTCCACTAATTTGACAAAATCGATTCAACTTTTCTTTCCCTTTCCATATTCTACCACCGTTTATTCCGTCTTAGATATATCGTGAAGGTTCGCGCGCGCGAACGGAACGATTATTTATAATTAAAAAAAATTTTTGACGCACAAAGTCTTCATATACACAAACATACACAAACATACAAGAAGGTACAACTTGGTGAAAGTCACGGAAGCCTATTAACCCGACAAAGGATAGTGTCGCCGATGAAACGAAAATAGAAATCGGAGCATCCCTTTGTCGCGGCTGGTGCATGGTTTCCCAAGAGAAAGAAAATGAGAGACACAGAGAGAGAGAGAGAGAGAGAGAGGGAGAGAGAGAAGGAGAGAGAGTAAGTGAGAAAGTGAGACAGAAAGGGAGGGAGGGCAAGAGAAAGAGAAAGACAGAGAGAGAGAGAGAGAGAGAGAGAGAGAGAGAAGGAAAGTAAGGAAAAGGAAAATAAGGAAGATAAAAAGACTGCCAACAATCGGTGGAAGGACAATGCACAAGAGTTGTCCGATTGGTTTGTAGCCACGCGCCAAAGTATTTTGTACCTAAGAGTACGGCAGATGTTTCTAACGAGCGAAGAACCTTAGCTCTAGAAAGAGTAAGAGAGAGAGAGAGAGAGAGAGAGAGAGAGAGAGAGAGAGGGAGAGAGAAAGACGGAACAGCATTGAGGAGAAGGGGAAGGAAAAAAGAGGAGAGAGAAGAGTATCGATCGCGATATGCCACGCACCGTCGCGATTAGTCGGCCGTCGTAATGAAGATAAGTCCTAACGAGCTCGCTGTCGGCGCGTTATCGGGCCGAGAGACATGCGATCAACGAGCTTTCGAAGGATAAGCCTACCAAGAAGGTAGAAGTAGAAGTTACGAAAGAGTCGAAAAAAAGAAGGGAAAAAATTCTTTGACTTCGCCACCGGCGGTAAATTATCTCTCGAAGTCTGATCAGAACAACACGGTGGCTCGTGTACCTGTGCCATCAACGTGAAATTTATGTCCTTTTGTCTACCCTGCAGTCCTTCTGTATATTTATTTCTTGATCGTTCGATTGGAGAAAATAATGCGAAAGCTATAGACGTTTATCGGTTGAACATTTTGGTGATTCGTTTAGATATAGTAATAAGTTAATCTAAAGATTCACTGACTATAACATTAAAAAATTGTGTTGCATCGATCAAGTATGAGAAAGTTAAGGAATCCGGAAGTGAGTGGAAGCACCTTGCAATGTATAAGGGGTTGAGAAAGAGGGTTGTCAGAGTCTCTTAAAAGTCAGTGAATCCATCTACGAAGGACCCTAGTGCGAGGGTGCAGGGGTTGGTACTAGGTGTTCGACCAAATCGGGGGTTGTGCACCCCCAGATCGGTAGCGCGTGTCCTCTTCAATGGAGTAGTCCACCGCTATTGCCAAGAGGTACCCCATCTAAAAGGGGTTAAATGCTCTTTTTTTTTCCCCGCGACGCGCCGTCAAGGTGTTGACCGCCCCTCACGACGAAAAATCAACGTCAACGGAGGGAACCCGAAGTGGCCCCGATTAGGAATCGTTTCGTGACAACGGAATAAAAACACACGGTATATTTTTTTTTTTTTATCAAAGTTTCAAGGTCACCCTTAAAAAGCTTGAAAGTATTCAAGCAAATAACGTGACTGTGCTTGAAATATTTCTGTTATTAATATTGTACATTAATTTCTTCTTCAAGGTAAAGACGATACGTGAAGTATACAATTTGAAGCAATAGATTCGAGAGAAGAGATATAGAAATCGAGAGGTTATTATATAGTTGTGTAATCGATTGCATAAGATGTTTAGAGTGTTAGAGAGGGAAAGAGGGAGAGAATGGGTAAATTAATCGTACTCCATAGGTAGAAAGTATGAGCACGAAAAGATACAAGAAATATATAAAAAGATGAAAGAATGGAATGTAAGAACCATAAAGCTCGCTTTCCGCATGTCTTCTTTTTATAGTCATCGCTCCGTACGAATTTATTTTTTTCCAAAAGGTTCTCTTCTTTTCGACCAGGTGAATGTCCTCGGGAGAGTGAAGACCGAGCATCGAAGATCAAGAGAAAATGAAAGAGAAAGAGAGGGTAGCAGGGGTGATTTTTCATTTTTCGATGCCACGAAACACCGACAATGGACGCGTGTCACGACGGTAGCAGCTGCTTTCGCCACTGTGTTTAGCCCGCGCACATGGCACATAGAGACTCGCCGCCATCGCAGCAAGATCGCATATCGTAAGATCGAAGTTGCGCAGCTTTAGCCGTATTTGAATTGGTCGGGAATGTGTTGTTCGCATTTGAAATAAGCCGCTTTGTCTTTCTAGAATTTAGTTTTTCTTTTTTTTTAATTTTTCTTCTCCAATTAATTGCTGTAATTCCGACAAGCGACGTTCCATTACTGACATTTAATTTTATCAGGTTTTATTGAATTAAGTGCACTCAAGCTTATTGCTATTATAAAAATTAATATCGTAATTCTACCTTGACATGATGTAAGAAATATCGGCGAAAAAAGGAAAGTGGAAAAAACCTTTGATCGACTTATTTGAAAAATGTATTTTTTTTTTTTTTGAGCCTTTAATAGGCTCAACAGTCGCCACTTCACGGATCAGTTGTTCAACGAAGAGATCGATATTCGAAAGGATCCAGAAAAGAAAGATACGATCTACCTTCTTGGGCTCCATCACTATGGCGGACTAGCCGGAGCGAAATGTCAGGTAGACGAACGTTCTACGATGAAACGAATAAAGGTTCCTTCTTTGGCATGGGCTTTTATTCTGTTAGATATTTTATATGAAAGAAGTAATCTTCAGAATTATATTATATTGTATAACATTTCTTCTATGAAGAAAATTTATTTATTTTTATCAAAATATTTGTGTTAAACTTTTATTTCAATGATTCAAGTCGTTCAAATGTTAATATAGATACCGTCGTATTGTTCCAAGAGAAATAAATTGTATTTTGTAATAGTTCAAATCTATCAGAGCCAAGTAAAAAATCAAGAAAAAAGATAAAAAAATCGATGCATCTTCTGTCGCACGACAAGAGTATATCTATTCGTTGACCCTTTGGTAGAAGAATACGCATTAATTTATATCTGCATAGGCTGACTATTATTATGTTAATTTTTTAACCTACCCGCTGACATCATGGAACCAGATATTCTGGTAGCATCCCATACCTATGCTTGCTAACGTACGTATACGTTTATATGCACGTACGATTAAAATGCGCTCGGCTTATACATACATAAAAAGAAAAAAAAAAAAAAAGAAAAAGAAGAAGAAGAAAAAGATGGTCCTAGCACCTGGGAAAATCAGCAGACGGAGATAATTTGCAGCATCCATCGCAGCATTTATTCTTTTCATCGCGTATGGATAGCGACCCAAGAGAAAAGATGATGCTTAACAACGATATTTCTTCGGAAAAGTCGAAAGAAAAGGAATAGCTAGCAGTAGATAGTAGTTCGATTAAGATACAAGACGCAACGCAGCCGGATGAATAAAGAAAAGACATAGAATATACCCGCAGGATGGTTTATAAGGGTGAATGTGAAAAAAATTAACTCTTATTCGAGTGCTAATGCTTCGACACGTATGGATAAAAATCTATGAAGCCCTCATCAAATGAAGGAATTACCAGAGCGAGAAATTCCGGGACAATAATATTTTGAACAGCTGGGGAAAATGTACAGCTTGCTACTGAACGAAAAAATGAGACTATACGCAATACTGTGTTGTTTGTTACGAACTTAAAATCGATCGATCTGTTTCATACTTCTCTTATCCCACCCTTCGTACCACGCGGAATTACGCTTCAATTTGTGAGCCACTTCGCTCTATCTTTTGTTGGAACGTCCCATAAAGAAAGAAAGTCGTAAAACGGTAGGCAAGACTGTCTGTTTCATGTGGACCCTATCTTTCTACATAGTAGAAACAGCCAATCCCACGGGTTTCAAAGATTCGACATTTTTCCTCTTTTTGTTCCCCCCTTCCGAACGCGCTAACGATTTATTCCGACAACCTCTCCGATTCGATATCAACGACTCTATTTTTTAGCCTAGAGCAAATCAACTGCCTTCCAAAACCCTTGCTCCGATATTTTTGTATTCCAATACTGGAGAGGAAGAAATTCAAATTAGGCAGTCTTTTTAGAATGGTTTTGGTACGAACAATGCATGTTCGTTTGTATCAGGTTGGTAGGGGAAAAGGGTGTAATAAAATAGATCTTGTATTATGGTTTATGATATTGTTTATTAAATCCAATTGTTACAAATTAAAATGGATTACAACGGTATATATTTTTAATACATTTTCCAAGTACACATTTACTTTCAGAAAGAGAGGTATGTGATAATATATATATATATATATATGACACAGTGTATGATTATCGATTATCTTATGCTTATCTCCTGGGAAGAAGAAGAAAAAAAAGCAAGTATTCTAAGGAAGGACGAGAACGACCCTGTGACCCACGATCGTATAAGTACGGTTGAAACGTTTTTTTATGGTGCGTTACACGTGCCTTGCGATTTCATCGAAGTGGGGAGTACGAATCGAAGGAGGTGGTGTACAAGGACGGTACAACGATTTGAGTAATCCAAGAGTAACAGAGAGAAGGAAAGAAGAAAAGAAGAAAGCAAAGAAGGAAGGAAGGAAGGAAGGAAGGAAGGAAGGAAGGAAGGAAGGAACTAGCGTCGCAGCATCCCTCGGCTCATCGAAAGACGCGCGCCGTCGCCAAACAGGGGTTGGGAAGGTTCGAACGAGCACATGCGCTGTTTGGTTGAAGCGCGTCGTAACTCCCCACTACCTATCCAAACTGTTGTGAGCACATTCAGTTCTGGATGAGGAGTGGGAAGAGGAGGGAAGGGTTCCGAGTACCCCACCATCGCCGAAAAATCTTCATCGTTCGAGTTCGGCCAATGTCGTTTTCCATTCGTCTTTTTCCGTAAAGATTCGGTTCGTGTCGTACTCTCCCCACCATTCAACGATGAGCGCGAGGTCGTGTAGAATTTCCCTTTCCACCGGATCGGGTTGGTCCTGGCCTGGCGCTTGGTATCCTGGCTTCCCGCCATGGCGGGCGGGATGACACTGCCGAGGAGTGCCGAGCCGTGCCGAGTCGCTCACGAGCGCCGAAACGCGGGCAGCTGCCGGCTGGTTCCGCGACTCTCCGGGGCCACGGACAAAGAATATACTCTCTTGCCGAGCAATACAGTCACCGCGCGCGCGGCGAGAGCACACACTCAGCACGGGGCAGCACGCCGTGAAAACCAAAGGTACGCCTTTGCCCCCTTCGATCTTCGGCTAACGCGCTCTCTCCCCGTGTGTGTGTATATATATATATATGTATATACATATATTATATAAATCATACATGTATATACATATACATATACACGTTGAACATTCGCCGGTTGTTGTTTCTCTCGTACGTCTTTACGGCGTACTTCTCATTGTGTTGTTGTTTTTTGTTTATTATCTTTTTATCAATTTTTTTCATTCCTTTTCATTTCACTTTTACGGGGGTGAAAATAGAAAAGGAAAGAGAATTTCGTGATTGTTCTGTCCGAGGTCGATGTCGTGGTCGTTGTCGTTTCTACTGTCGCGAGTGCCGATCGAGAGGGAAATTCCGGAAAGAAAGGAGGAATAGGTGCGTGCGCGTACGCGCGCGCGCACCAGCGCCGAAGATAGAGAGAGAGAGAGAGAGAGAGAGAGAGAGAGAAAAAAAGAGAGAGAGAGAGAGAGAGAGACGAACCGTTCGTGAATCGTCGCGCCGGTGATACACGCGCCCTGATATTACGCACGAGGACGTGCACGGGAGAGGAGACGGGAGAGGAGAAGATATATATCGTGAGCCTTGCGTGCTTCTCTTTTCTGGTGCCGGGTGAAAGAAAGAAAGAAAGAAAGAAAGAAAGAAAGAAAAGCAACAAATAAATACAGAAAGAGAGGGAAAGAGAAAGAAATAACGGGAGAAAGACAGAAAGGAGAAAGCACGGTGACCGGTATGTAAGTGAATATAAGAGTGTGCGTCTTTTGCGTGTGCATTCCCTTTTGTGTGTCTTCCTTCGAGAAAAGAAATAGATAAGAGTTAGTGCGAGGAGGTACGAGATAACGAAGCCCGGGGTGGTATCAGGAAAACAGTGCGCGAGTGGTTAAGATAGGGTAACAGAAACAAAAAAAAGAAAAGGAAAAGAAAGCACAGAAAAAGAAAACCAAGGAAAAGTGTGGAGAAGAACAATTTTCGCCAATCGGAGAGAGAATGTTCACTTTCGCTTTCGTTCCGTTCTTCCTCATCTCCTTCCTTCTTCCCCCATTTCTGATCATGTCGGAGAGTATACCCTCCAAGGGAGAGAGAGAAAGAGAAGTAGATAGGTAGATATAAATAGATAGATAGATACATAGTTAGATAGATAGATAGATAGATAGATAGATAGATAGATAGATAGATAGATAGATAGAGATAGAGAAAGAGAGAGATATAGAGATAGAGAGAAAGTGACAAGGGATAAGGACGAAAAAACAGTGGGGTGGTGTTGGTTTCTAAAAATCAGAAGAAAAAGAAAGAAAGGAAAAAAAAGAAAAACGCTTGGTGGGGGGTACATCGAACGCATGTTGGGTTTATCCTGACGGAAGTCGATTGTCCTTAGGACTCGATCCTCACCGTCTTATCCACCACCATCGGCAGGAGTAACAGCAGCACCACTATCACACCACCACCACCACCACCGCCACCACCATTGCTAGCAGCACCACCGCTAGCAGCGGCAGCGGCAGCAGCACCACCACCACTACCACTACCATCGCCGCCACCGCCACCACCACCGCCGGCGACGCCTCCTGGCAAAGCCGGTGGCACGGTAGTGTCCTCGAGAGCACGCCGTGCACGCATCGGTGCTGCGAATGTTCCACGGCTCTCTCTCGCGACGGCGTGAGTCGACGAGAACGCGCGTCGTGTCGTCGTCGGCGAGTGACGGAAACTACGGCGCCAACCCCCACCGAAATACTCCTTTCTACGAATACTACTACCAATACTACTACTACTACTACTACTACGAATACTACTATAGGCTCGGTTTAGTCGCTTCGTGGATGCTACGCGCAGTGTATGGGAAACAGGTTCTTAAAGCACTAATTTCTCTTCTTCTTCTTCTTCTTCTTCTTCTTCTTCTTCTTCTTCTCCTGCTTCTTCTTCTTCTTCTTCTTCGAGAAAAAAAAAAGACGGATACGTCGTTGTCATCGTTGTTTTTCTTTTTATTCTTCTTTTACTCTTCCGTTCGATAAACGTCAAAGACGATGAATGTGCCCTCAGATCACCAGTGTCCATCTTTCTAAACCGAAATCAGGAACGGTTATTTAATTGCTCCATACGTATAGGTCTCTAATAAGATTTCTATGCCCAGCAACGGGATAAGCTCTCTCTCGAGCGTAGTCCCGTCTATCCACCAAGGAACTTTTTCTCCTTTTTTTCCTCTTCCCGTTTGCTCGTCCTCGAACACGAAGTCGTTGAGGGAGAGAGAGAGAGAGAGAGAGAGAGAGAGAGAGAGAGAGAGAGAGAGAGAGAGAGAGAGAGGGGGTGGGAGAAAGAGAAAGAGTAGAGAGAGGGGAACAGAGTGAGACAGATTTCGGCCGGTTCCTCTAACTCTCTTTCTCTCCCTCTCTCTTTTTATTTCTCTTCTTCCTTTCTCTTCTTTCTTTCTTGCTTTCTTTCTTTCTTTCTTTCTTTCTTTCTTTCTTTCTTTCTTTCTTTCTCTCTTTCTTTCTTTCTTTCTTTCTTTCTTTCTCTCCTTGCCGACGGAACGACGGAATGGATCGAAACGAACGAAAGAACACCGACGTTCTCGTGGATCGCGAGAACTACGGGCGCCAAGAGATTTACGGGCGCATTCGCGATCCTCGTCTTCTTTCGGCTTTGCTCTTTCTCGTCTTCTCCTTTCTTCTTTCTTTCTTTTCTCTTTATGCTTCTTCTTTTTTTTTTTCTTTTCTCCTTCAACTTTTTCTTTTGGTTCTCTTCCACCTTCTTCTTCTTATTCTTCTTCTTATTCTTCTTGTTCTTCTTCTTGTTCTTCTTCTTGTTCTTCTTCTTCTTCTTCTTCTTCTACTACTACTCAATCTCAACTTTAACGTTTTCAACGTTATCATCGGAAGATCGAGCGTAGTCAGACGTTTTCTGATGACATCGGTGGCCTGAGGTTCTCCGTTTGAGAAAAACTAAAAGATAACATGTCGTCGTTGTCTCTTGTTGCTGTTATTACTCTTATGTCTCGTAGGTGTGTCAACTAATTTTAAATTACTATTCCTCGAGTAATCCTCGTTTTTTTTTTCTTTTCTTCTTCTTTATCCCCCGCGGGAATATTTCACGAAACCTTTTCGTATTTTAATTGTTCCTTTTCTTTTTTTCTTGGGTTCTAGTTTACGTGAGCGCGCTTTAAGAACGAATACGTCGCAGCGGCTTACGCATTCATGAATTCCTAGAAGCTTGCATATTCGATTCTACTCCGAAATGGATCGAAATCTCGCGGTGTAGCCTTTGTTCCGTTCGATTTCTTGGAATACGAGAAAGAAAGAGAAAGAGAGAGAGAGAGAGAGAGAGACGCGTTTCGCGCGACAAGAGACGTTAAAGATGGCCGCTTCGTCGTGATTTAGCCGCGTTTTACGATCTCGCGAAAGGATCGGCAAAACAGAGAAAGAAATATCTTCCTTTTGAAATTTTGATCCCAAAACATTTCCATCTTATACCCATGAAAAAGTGACCATTGTTTTATGTTTTTTTTTTCTTCCTTTTTTTTCTTTTTTCTTTTTTGTTTTCTTCTTTATCTTGCTTCTTATTCGTTGATCGGCCAGAGTGTACAACGATTTTATCGTTGTCGTCGCGAGTATTCTCTTTGTTCCCATGAACGAGTTGCGATCGCGGTATCGTCGAACCTTGCGATATACGCGGGAGAGCGAAAACACCGTTTAATCGTTCTTTCTTAATATATTTTTAGTAGTCTAGAAATATAATTGAATATCTTTTCGAAGTAGTCTCATAAAATGTATATACATATTATTGTTTACCCTGATCATCATCATCTCTACTAGAGACATAATTAATCGTTATCTCGTTTGCTCTAGTGATGACGTTGCACCTTTAATCCATTGCTTTGTAATGATAATAATAATAATAATAATAATAATAATAACGATAATAATAATATCTAATAACAATAACAAGACAATAAAATTGCTTACGTCATAGATATAAGAGAAAAAGAAGAAAATCTTTGCTAAAATCGTATGTTAGTTTTTTGATTATTTATTTCTTGTTTATATCCTCGGAAAAAAGAGAAAGGTGTTTTATTTTACATACAAAATAAGTTGTTCGAAAGAAGATTGTTTATTGGTCGTTTCTATTCTATACCTATTTCTTAAAGATTACATTTAACAGCATATCCATATTGCTATGTTGCAGTGGTCTGACATTTGTTTTAAGATTTGACTTGCATATGTATACTTTGACCGCCATTTTTTATGCGACATATTTGAATAATTGATCGGCCTCTTGTACTCTACTAATTTACCAATTTTTATCTTACTTCTTGTACTCTACTAATTTATCAATTTTAATAATACCAAAATTTGCAAGTTTCATTCCAACAATTGCAATTGAACAGGCCCATCATGTTGCCTGCTACGACAAGTCACAATTTTTATGATGTTCAAACAGAAAACGAATTTAAGAAACCCTAATATCTATTACCTCTTTCTCTACCTTTCTCTCTTTCGCTTTTTGTCGACAGTTGATCTTTTTTAAACCACCGCTCATGGTGGCGTGGGTTCCAAGCGTCGTCGCGCGCATTAATCCGTGGTTTAGCGAACCAATTTAAATATCAGCGGCGCGCTCGACGCAATTTTATATCATTTCCGATATCGCGCGTTAGTGTGGGTGGTTTCGACGTTGCGTCCCTTTCCCCTTTCCTCCCTATTCCTTCTCTTCGACGTCCGAGGCCCTCTCTCCTACCCTTACGCCCCTCTTTTCCGTCCTCCCTCTACCTCGACCGTTACGCCGTCGTCCACATGAGCTAGGTACGCTTTACGATGCGTGTCGTCCACTCTCTTTCTCTCTCTCTCTCTCTCTCTCTCTCTCTTTCGTTGTCGTGTGTGTGTGTGTTTCTTTCTCTTTCTTTCTCTCTCTCTTTCTCTCTCTCTCTTTTCTGTCTCACTCACTTATAGAGACGCGCGTGTGATCAGCCCGTACGCGACGCTCGTAACGTCGTGACGACGTAGTTGCGGGATCTCAAAGAAGAGAGAGAGAGAGAGAGTGAGAGAGCGAGAGAGAGAGAGACAGAGAGGGGGGAGAGACGCATGCACGCGCATGCGTCAGACATCGTACGTATATCCCGCGCGCACGTGCGTACGTATATATACAAGCTCCGCACACGACGACGTTCGGGGGAGCAAGAGAGAAAGAGAGACGGACAGAGACGTGCGTGTGCGAGAGAGTCCGGTAAGCACTCGCGAGTTATGCGTATGTCTGTATATATATATATATGTATATGTATATATATTATATGTACATACACATGTGCGTGTGCAGTGCTGTAAAAAAGCATGGTGCTGTTAAGATTGGAAAAAAATGTATTAGAGGGATGGAGAAGTTCGAGAAAAACGAGAGAAATAGTGATAAAAAAGGAGAAAGAAAGAGAAAGAGAGAGAGAGAGAGAGAGAGAGAGAGAAAAGGTGCAAGGGTTGAACGGGTTAGACGTCAGAAAAATATCTCTCATTAATGGTCTATTAGTTTAGTGTGTCGTATATGTATATTCATATGCATATATATAATATATATATATATGTATATATATATTTGTGTGTCGGTATGTGTGTATGTGTATTTTGATATGAGACGGAGCGGCATGTACGTTTGTGTTGGTGACATTACGTCGAGTTGTGAAGAGGTAGTTGCCGGAGAGCTTTAACTGGTAGTTACGTTCGGAGTAAGTGCTGGATCAGAAGTAATATCGTTGCCACGGTACGGACCGACAAGATTATCGGCCTGGGCGGTAATTGTTTGACGCTTCGCGCCCGCTCTCATATACGCGACAATAAACGCGTTTGCATTAAATAAAAAAAGGGAGGCTTCTATCGATGGTCAATCAGCAACGACAGACAAAACCGGACACACGTTCACGAAAGAACGCGATTGGTCGATTGATTATCATCGCTTCTCATGATCTTGATCGATCTTCATCCGTTGGTGTATTCATGATGTTCATGATCTACTCCTTTTAAATTTTGTATTTTTATACATTTAAAAGAATTTGAAGCTAGGATTATATATATATAAATATAATTTTGTTTTCCTTGTAATATATTCGAGATCTTTTAAGAACGAACTTATTTCGCAAGGAAACTTTTAGGATGCTACTCTCCATTCTTCCGACATTTTTCTTCGCTAATCACATTCAACGTTAGTACATTTTTGCGGCTTATTCATTTTCATGAAAAGATAATTGGTTCTTCAGAAACAGTCGCATTCATGTGTCGAAAGGAGACATGTCAAGATTCTTAACAAATGTTTTTCTCGATAAAAAGTAGTTGAGTATGATCGAACATGAGGGAAAAAGTCACGAAATTCGTGCTAGAAGGGCGTCGCGCAGTTTTGCTACGGCTCTGACAAGTGTGCAAGTCTCTCTCTCTCACTCTCTCTCTTTCTCTTTCTCTCTTTTTCTTTTTCTCTCTTTCTCGCGTGCGTGCGTGCGTGCGTGCGTGCGTGCGTGCATGCGTGCGCCGTAAGAGTGCGCGCGCGCGCGCTCGCGCCCGCGCCCGCGTGTGTGTGGGACCTTGAATCAAGCAGCCTTTGTCGCGAGACTCCACCGCGGCACCACGAGGTCGGCGAAAGTGTACCCGAGCTTTTTTGTTCGGGGCCGCCGCGAGAAGAACGCTTTTTTTTCCTCTTTTTCTTCTTGTCTTTCTCTTTCTCTCTTCTTTCTCTGTATTTCTCTCTCTCTCTCTCTCTTTCTTTCTCTTTCTCTCTCCCTCTCTTTCTCTCTCTCTCTCTTTTTTTTTCGAAGCTAGCATGCACAGTCGGAGGACGAACACTGGCCATTTTTGTTTCACCGTGACGCCGGAATTAGCGCGAGCGTGCCATCCGCGAAAACGGAACTTCGTTATCCAGGATTTACGCTCGCGGAAAGGAAGATAATTCGGAATGGAATCGCAACTACGAAAGACGCCATCGTTCACTCCGGATATCGGCCATCTTTGTTCGCTAGTCCTTTCTCCCATACATATATGAAGTACGTTGAAAAAAATCTTGGAACTTTTCTTCTTGCCGTGCTTGTCGTTTAAATGGGAACGAAGCTGCGAAGAAAATCGTTTGGAAGTTTCGTTTTCTACTCGCTCGATTCATTTCAGCCATGACCCCTTGATATCGGTTAAGGATTAATCAAGCAACGTTTGGTCGCTTCGAATCGTTTGACGTGGACAACTCCATTCGCTCCAACGAAGAGAATGAAAATTCAAAAAAACATCGATTCTTGTTTTTTGAATGGGGTTGCAAAAATAGAGATATAGATAAAGTGATAGAGATAAATAGATAGATAAAGAAAGAGAGAGAGAGAGAGAGAGAGAGAGAGAGAAAAAGGCGGGACGCGTTTTGGTCGTCAAGATTTGACGCACGCGCAGAACGTGTTTTCTGTTTGAGAGACGCAGCTTTGGACAACGACGCTCCCATTCGTTCTTTCGGCCGTTTCGACGAGACGAGACGAGATGTTAATTCCGAGCGCGCGGAATCTTCTCTATCTCGCAGCTGGTTTATACGCGCTTCTCGGAATTCGCGTCCTGCGCCCGGCGAGAGGGCCGTGCGAACGAAAGAATCCGTTCCGTCTCGACGACGACGACGACGACGACGACGACGACGACGAAGACGACGCTCCCGCTTCTCCGTTCGTCGTATCGTTTCGTCGCACCGGGTATACACAGCGCGACGGAGCGTACACTATGGGCCGCTTCGCAACGCGCGAGGCGGTATTGAATTTTTGTGCGTACGGTACGGTCGATTCGACGAAAGTGCAACGGTGGGACCAGCTGTGCCCGCCGACGGACGTTCCTCCGAGCGACTTTTTCTTATATAGCGTTTACTCCGAACCTATCTCTCTTTCTTTCTCTTTCTTCTACTTTTCACTTTTCATCCGGTCGTTTTTCGAAGAAAAATCTACGACGTCTTGTTTGCTCTCTTGACAATGACGAATCAGATTTTTTTTACTTTTTGTATTTATCTTAATAGAATGATGAATGAACTTATCGTACTTCGATACAATTTTTGGTCGATTTAAATTAGGGTTATAACATTCCAATCGCCATTTTTTTTCCATCTGTTTCGGAAAATGGCGGATATATATTTCTTTAATATCATTATATATAATGTTTTGTATCAAAAATTGGCATAATTTGCGTGTCCGTAGGATATATCGTAAAGTATCAAAACTTTTGGCACGTGACCAATTTAACCAAACGAAGTAGTCCGAACTTTTTAGGTTAGACGGATGGAATATTAATCTTCGATGCTATTTTTAAAAAGCGCATACGCCGAGCAGACCTCCGAAACTTTCTTCTCATCTTTTTCTTTTCTTCTTTTTCTTCTTTTTCGTGGCCACGTGTGCAACGGATCTTCCGTGTGCGCATACAAAATGACCCTTTTTAAATGAGAACAACGGCACTATCCAGAGTTTATGCGCTCGCTATCGGAGCGCCGAGTTTCGCGACCTTTAAAGACTAAAGTTCACGGTATTCAGTCTAGACGATTTATGGACGTCAGGAAAGTTCAGTTGCCTATGACCCGAGCTGGACCTCTAAAGGTGTTTCCACATTGATGTAAAAATCACAAAAATGATTGGTTCGATTGCGTTTTTCTTCCCCCAAAACCCCATCAGATCGTATAGGTCATAAATGGGCTGAGAAAGTCATTATAGAAATAAAGAAATAAACACGTAAATCATTTTGTCAAGAGCTTGAAAAACATTACGATGAGAAACTACGAAAAAAAACTTAGATCCATTCGTAGGATCGAACGAGCAATTACAATTTCCGTTTTCAACTTTTTCACGTCTCGTATCGTGCGTCTCTTTCTTTTTGTGGCGTAGCGGCAAAAGCGGCTGTTTCATAAGCGAAAGTGCTGAACGACAGTGCAAGTTTCCAGCGATAGCGAAAGCTCCAACGTCCACAGCTGTAAAGCTATTACAGAGGGTTTCGGGGAGGAGAGGAGGGAAGATGGAACGAAGAGAGAAAGAGAGAGAGAGAGAGAGAGAGAGATAACGAGAACGCTCGGTCTATGTACCACATCACAGTGTATTCGTGAACCGTGCGAAAGCTTGTGTCACACACGACTAGTACGTTCAAATGTGTGTGTCTCTCTTTCCTCTCTTTCTCTTTCTCTCTCTCTCTCTCTCTTTTTCACTCTCTATTTCTTTATATGTATGTGTGAGTATTCGCTTACGCCACGTGGACGCGTACGTGACAAGCTCGAGTTCGTTTCTCTCTATCTCTCTTTCTCTATGTGTGTTACATGGCACGAGTCGAGCTTGCACATAGAAAGAGAGAGAACGGAGCGACTGAAGAGCGATGTGGTGGGGGTAAAAAAGAGGGAGAGGGACAGAGAGAGAGAGAGAGAGAGAGAGAGAGAGAAAGAGAGTAAGTGTGAGCGAGAAACGAAAAGCGAGCGAAAGAGAGAGAGAGAGAATGAGAGAGAGAGAGACAGGGAAAGAGAACCAAACGGCGGTCGATATTTCACCAAGCCCGCCGTCGTACCAGTTTTCAACGATGGCTTTGAACCTCTCTTAAGCATAAGCAACTTCTCCACACTTTTCGGGCGTACGAATCGATCAAAACTTATGCTTTCATTGCGCATTACGTTTAAATTGCATATTAATACGCATAACGTCGAATTGTCCTACAATAATTTTTATTTGCAGGATTAATTCATGTATTATTTAAAGGTTCCCTTTTATAATATTTCATAATGAAAGGATCAATTTCATAGATCGTCGGCAATACATTCTCAATCCTCTTGACATGCTAAATATAAATTAAAATGTATTGTAAATATATTTTATTATCCGATAACCAAGATGATTAGATATCAGAATTAATTGAAAATATTAGGAAATACGAAAAATTGTTATAATAGACATCTTGACGACGATTAAAATATAAAATTTATGAGTATCAATCTTCAATATGAAGATTTGTTTGATACAGTATTAACAATTCCTTCTTTCGAGTGATATTTTTTAAAAAGAAAATGGAAGAGAATTGATATAGGGATGAGGAAGGGGCCAAGGGGGTAAGGGGGTGCAGGAAACAAATCAAGACGATAAATTTCCAAGGTGGTAAGATCCAACAATGCGAAAAGTTCGTAGCCATCGTTGTTGAGCGCGCTAGGCAACGTGAATGAAGCGGGTAGGGACTAGGGCAGAACATTTGTGGATATCAAAGCGTGCGAGTAGGTGTGCATGCACGCCGAACGTAGTACATAGTAACCTTGGCTCAGCAATGGTCACGTTATATAGCTGGATGACTATAACACGTTATTCTACGTTCTAGTAGCGAACGACTTGTTAGACGCGGGTTGCACGAGACCAAATGATTGCGAGAAAAGCATTTGCCTTAAATCGTACCATTTCATCTTTCTTTCTCTTCCTCAACTAACATTCACATCCTTCTTATCTATTCTGTTTCAGATCGTACAAATCAATCGCCTTCTAACAAGCCGCATTAACCTCAAGTGATTTATATTTTCTTACGAAGCGCGAAAGAAGTAATTAGTGTGTTTATATCGTATAAAAGAAGAAGAAAACAAAAAAAAAGATATTCAACAAGAGCTTAAGTTCAGAAGAAGAAGAAGAAGACGAAGACGAAGAAGAAGACGAAGAAGAAGAAGAAGAAGAAGACGAAGAAGAAGAAGAAGAAGAAGAAGAAGAAGTACATGAAGAAAACGAAAAAGAAGAAGACGACAAAAGTTTAAAAGTTATAATATCTACCTAGTGTACAAAAATATATCTGAGAAAAAAGTACAAACGATAAAAAGTTACAAAAAAAAAAAAAAAAAAAAAAAAAAAGAAATAAAGTACATACAAACACGAACACAAAAGCATACACATATACACGACGAAACAAAAAGAACACAAATAAAAATCCGTCAGTGCCAAATCGAAAAGACGTGGAGGGAATAGACAAGCGCGATTAATAGTTGTTGTACATTTAAAGGAAAAAGTATACAGAGAACGAAAGAAAGAGAGAGAAAGAGGAGAAGAAAGCAAAACCATAAACCAAAGAATCTACCATTTTTTCTACTAATCACTCAGAGAATAACGATACTCTTAAAGCAAAAGAAAGTGACCAAGAGTGAGAAAGAGAGATAGAGAGAGATAGAGAGAGAGAGATAGATAGATAGATAGAGAGAGAGAAAGAGAGAGAGAGAGAGGGAGAGAGAGAGAGTGAGAGAGAGAGAGAGAGAGAGAGAGAGAGAGAGAGAGAGGAAGCGAGATAAGCATCTAGACTTCCGTGATCCCAAACTAATTAAGTGAAAATCATCCGCGTAAAGTCTTTTGTAAACTATATGAATTTATATAAATAAACGTTAAGTAAGAAGTGAATCTTTAAAAAAGCACTCGGCTTCAATCCGAGATTTACATTTAGCGACATCAAATGTCCTTTGGTAACAAAATCAGAGTTCGCACGAACTGGTGCATATCCAATTGGTGAAACGGAAGAGAAAAGGAGAGAGAGAAAAAGAGAATACCTATCTACCAGTTTCGAGCTCCAGAGCTATCAGCTCCAGAGCAAAAGAGAAAAATAGAAAAAGAACGAGGACTGTCGTTCGAATCGAGTCGACCTCCTGCACGCAGGAGGAGCGTTAAAAACAGGATGACGTGGCGAGGAAGATGAGCGCCGAGGTGACGAAGGAGGTCGTCGCCACCGAGAGGGTAGCACCGAGCCCTCCGGCGGCGGTAGCGACCTCGCCAACCTCTGGTGACCCGGCTCGTCACCTGCCCCCGTTCAGCAGCTTCGCCGGGGACAGTACGATGGACAGCTCTACGACTTTGACGACCCTTCATTCCCAGGACGTTGGACTGGGCCTGACGTCGTCCTGGGACTATTACGAGGGCCTGACAGGTCGGTTGATCGACTCCCGTGGCGAAGTGGTTCTCGCTAGCCAATATCGTCCTTGGGAGTCGAAGAACGCTGGTGGTGTCGTGTCTGCTGCAGCACCAACCGGTGAAGGATTACCAAGTTTTGCAAGTCAATTTACCGCACCGAGTGAAGCCGAGCCCCAATTAACGGCATTGACGCCGTTGTCGCCAGCATCCATCTCTCATTCGCCACCCGTTACATCAGCCGTAGGTTTGCCCAGTTTTCATACTCTTGGGACACCTTTACCGGCGCCTCATCCTCATCGCGGTACCGTCGGTTATCCTCTCGTACCGGCACCCGTTCAAGCGAGAGAGGTACCGGCTCTGCAACAACAGCTACTCGACGAGAGACATATTCAACTACTCGGTTCTAGTCCCGTCCAAGCGTTCCCACCACCTCCAGGTCATCCTCATCATACTGTTTTGACCGTAGTCAAGCCCGAATATCCGCAACTTCATCATGCCAACTTCCAAAACCCAATGTCGACTGTCCTCGATTCCTCACCAACCTCGAGGGCGATCGGCATCGACGGACGTAAGAAAGAACGGAGAAAAATACGGGCTGGCTCGATGGAGTCCGAAGATGGTGGTGGAGGTGGTGGTGGCGGTGGTGGTGGTGCTGGTAGCGTTGAAAATTCTGGTCAAGTCGCGGCAGTATCCTCTACCGCCAATCGTGGTCCTCATCATATGAGTGGCGGAATGGGTGATGCCGACGGTGACGGTGGCCTCGGTGATAAGCCGGCTAAAAAGAAACGCAAAAGGTGCGGGGAATGCATCGGATGCCAACGGAAGGACAACTGTGGAGATTGCGCGCCGTGTAGGAACGATAAGAGTCATCAGATTTGCAAAATGAGGCGGTGCGAGAAACTCACGGAGAAAAAGGTCAGTGATCTTTGATATCTTGACTTGGGATTTTGATCTGTTCAAGATTGGACTGACTTATTGCTAGATCATTTTTCTGCTTTTTTTCTCTTTTATTTGTTTCTTTTTTTTCTTCTTTTTCTTTAGACAGATTTATAAGATCCTTTGTATGGAAACAAATGTGAATATCATTTCTAACATGACTCTTGTGGATTTCTTATAAAAAAATATGTTTTTTTTTTTTTTTTATTTCATGTCTATCCAGTTCTTTCTTGAACGTTCAAGGTCTACAATTTTAAATGATAGGGTGGTAGCAGGTGATATTCAAGGCATCCAATAAGGAATACACTTATCATTTTATTCGTAAATTGCGTGAACCGTAGATGTATGCAAGAAACGCTGAAAGATCGGATTTCCATAGATTGAAGAATCTAGATATAACAGAGTGTAAAGTATATAGAGTTCGTGTACTGCTTCCATGGAAATTCTGTCGTTCTGCTCGCGAGTGGTGTGCTCACAGGTGTATAGAACAGGGTGTGGAGTACAGTAGGGTTGGGTGGTATAAACACGGATAAACCCACGCTATAGAACGGTATATATAGCTTGAACTTGGCCCCGATGCCTGGATGTGCCGAGAATCCCAGAGGGAAATACAGAAATACAGATAACCGCGAGGTGGTTTATTATTGTAGTGACATTGAATAGAGGGTTGGTGGGTTGACTGGTTGCTTTCGGTAGCGATGGCTATGAACCATGGTCTGATTTAACTTGGAATGAAACATTTCCTTTATTAACATTTCTTAGGCATTGTAACGAGATAAGAAACAATTGCACCTAGCAGGTGTATTGGTGCAATTGTTTGGGAAAGAATAGAATCATAGAGATATATTTTAGTAAAGCATGTACACCTAATATTTTTCTCTAAAATATTTTTTTATTCTTTATATTTTTTTACTTAAAAACAAATTATAACGCATTCTAATAATCAGAATTATTCTGTATAGCAGTAATCAACGGTTTAACTTCATAAAGTCTGGCATGCCTATAAGAAGAATATACTATGGGATGCAAGCTGCAACGAGTGCAGCAAGCGCCGAGCGCGAAGTGGTTTGGCTTATCGCAGGGCAAGTTCAAGGCTCGCCGCGGGTCATAATAATCGCTCATCGAACTCCGCCTCGTTCGGGAAACAAACGTGTTGTTCGTCGATACAAAACTCAAGCCTCTTTCTCTTCTCCTCGTAAAGATAACGCCGAGTCGTGTCTAATAGAGAGCTTCGTTATGAACGAGAGAGATAGAGAAGGAAAACGTGTGTAGGATCGTCTTGTTGAAATCAGTAAGAGAGAATATGGATCTAAAATTTGAACGAGCCAAGCGGATCGATCCAGGCCTCAAAACGTTTCGTCTCCCGCACGTTGCTCTTTTCAAACGGTGACTCATTCGCTTGCTCGACGACGACGACGACGACGACGACGACGACGACGACGACGACGACGACGACGACGACGACGACGACGACGACGACGACGACGACGACGACGACGACGACGACGACGACGACGACGACGACGACGACGGCGACGGCGACGGCGACGGCGACGACGATGATGACGATGGCGACGGTGGTCGTGACTTTCCTGAAGAATCGTGCGTAGGCAGTGAGAGAGGGTTCACGCGCGCACGTCTCGTGATGTGATACGATTGAACGAGAAAATTGTTATTCCGTCCGATGATGATAGTCCAGCCGTCTGAAAGTAATGCGAGAAGTCGATCGCTTCTTCGCACGCATAACATCAAATCCGTTTTCTATAGTAACTTCAAATGGAAATGATTTGAAGGAACATCGATGGCCGGTATTTCGAAATTTTATTCAAACAATTTAAAGACAATGCCTACTTTGTATTTATTTTTTCTTTTTTTCTTTCTTTTTTTTTCTTTTTCTTCCCCTTTTGGAGCAAATATTTTACATACACGAATAATCATACAGTTATAAAATAGAGACTTTAATTATTTTACGTATAGAATATGGAAGAGTAAATAATTCTTACGTTCGAATATTGAGACACGTGAGAAACAACGAGTTAGTATAGTATAATAGACAGCTAGAGAACCGTGAAGGGAAGGGAGAAGCGTCATTTCCTATTGCCGATAATCAATAGTGGAACACTTGCCGAACTAAGAGAATAGGATAAATGATATTTGAGAAATAAGATCTTATCTTTCTTTGTAATTTTTAATAAGAAAAATGAACAATAATTGTTTAAAATTAAATTAACAACGTAAACTTTACATTAATACAGAGTGACTTAATTTGTTGAGATTCTATCGATAACGTTCATAGAGATTCTATCAACGTACATAATGTCTATAATTGCTCGATTGACGAGTTGAGAAAAATAATAGTCGAATTATCGAAGGAAAGGGTTGAAAAGGGTTGAAACGGAAGTAAAGGTAAAAGAAGAAATGCGCGTAGATGATAGATGGTCGCGAGTCGAAGACCAGTGTATATAGGATCGCCGTCACAACAACCCACATCCTTCTAAGACTTAACACCCTCTTTATCCCGAGGGAAAGCTCTCGCCCCTGCTGTCTTTCTCTTCGTGCGAGAGGACTCTACCCTCGAGTTCATCGTACACCTGCCGCCGAGAGGCCACCCTCCTACGGTGATGGCCTGATTTTTATCGTCTTTCTACCTTGTTTTGGTCCGTTTCTTCGTTGTTTTCGGAGAGGGTGCAATGACCGAAGCATCCTTTTCTTATAGCATGCATGATAAATTTTAATTATGTAGACGTAACCAAAGAAAAAATCAAAATGAACGCGAATAAGTGCAAACGAACATCTCCAAGTAATTATTATTAATTTTTGTTTGATTACAAGTCCACTAATCATGTTTTTAAGTATTCATCATCGATGATTTGAATCTGTGTTCATTGTACTTATTATTCGTAATGGATCTTTATATATTAGTGTTTGTTTATTTTATTGTATATTCATTAGCATATATATATATATATATATATATATATATATTGTTAATTCGTATTCATTTGGTAGAAATATTTTATAGAAATTTGTACGGTCTATCGAAAAATTACAATATCTTTGTGACAATTCGCGAAACCAGAGGCATATCCATGAGCTTTGAAGTCTGAGTTGGCGCTTTATTTTCCTCGCACGAAGAAGACCGACCGAGTTGATTGGCCTGTCGTGAGATAACCCTGAGGAGCCAAGAATTGTATCCGGTTATCGTTGCGGTTATCACGGTCCGAATAACGCAAAAAGCATTCGAAATGTAGAAGAAGCGAGGTTACTCCCACTTTTTTCTCTTTCTTCTCTCTCTCTCTCTCTCTCTCTCTCTTTCTTTTTCTCTTTCTCTTTCTTTTTTTTCTATGTTTCTCTATATCAGCCAATGTGGAGTACGTTGAGTACGTTGAACGTAATCGAACACTGCTCGGCATATCCTCTTTCTTTCGTCCTGTACTTTTACGGGCTTCGTGCAGTTTCGATTTATCGAGAAACTAGAACCGAAAACCCTACTCGATTACGTTAACTCGTTTCACGTCGGCGGAACGAGAGGGTTCTCGCGCGACGTACGTAGTACTTTATCTCGTAACTCGAAATGCGATATATCTTGATCGCGTGTACTCCTTCGAAAAGGTAATGTGCCTCTTTTTTATCTTTTTTATTTAAGTATTTCAAGTCACGTGCCACTTTCGTTTCTCAATTAGATAAAATGAAAATGGATTGTATAATATCTATATGAAGATTAATGTTGTCGTTTGAATAATTCAATATAATTGTTGATATTAAATAAATTAATAAGTTTTCAGCTTATTTCTAGGATGTAAAATGTCATTTATTTGAGTAACATCATTAAAAAAATTGTCGATAAATGTTCATCAAAAATTGACGTGTCACATCATATACACATGAATGCACGTACGCACGCATAAATGATTTCATAAAAAAAAGGAAAAAAAAAGGAAAAAAAAAAAAAAATACGTAGAAAATTTGCAAATACTCATCGAAAGATTGTTTTTGTTAGAACATTATTTCCCATTCAGATTTTTGTCCTTACGTTCAAAATTACGTCATAAGACGTCGAAGCGTCATTCAGAGGTCATGCTTTCTGTATCGTTATACTAATGGAGATTGAAAATCCGCGAGTGGCACGTGGGATCGATCGAGCCAGCGCGGAAGTCGGAGGATTCGCTCCACTTCCTAGCCCGTTTTCGCCGAAATACCCCGCGACCTCGAATTTTCCTCCGCCCTTCATCCCCACCATCACCTACACTCCCCTAGCTCCATCACCGGCAACAGTACCAGCACTGGCACCAGCATCATCGTCGACGGTAAAAGGTTTCGCTCGGAGGGAAAGTGGAAAACTTGATTTTCTTGGGCGAAGACGACGAGAAGAGGACGAGAAGAGAAGGAAGCCGCGAGAATGACGTAGAATTCACGCGAGTAACGATCGAGATGGGTAGGAGTGAGTAAGAGGGACGAGAAGGTAGAGGGGGTTAAGAGGAGTTGGAACGACGAAAGAAATTTTATTTTTCGAGTATGCGACGTTAGGCTCTTATAAAGATGTATGTGTGTGAGAGAGAGAGAGAGAGAGAGAGAGAGAGAGAGAGAGAGAGAGAGAGAGAGAATTGTTGGGGGGTGTAGGGGTGATGGTGGATCGACTGGGAGAGTCTTTATCAGCCGACTGTGAAATCTACTTTGCCGTCGTTAGCCACATCGTAGTTTGTGAGGCATTCGATCGAAATATCGAAATGAAATTCAGCCGGAGATTGTATGTACGCGTGTGCAATTTCGAGTTGATGTCTTTGAAGATATCTTTTCTTCTTAGTTCGTTGGTAAGACAATGGAATTTTGAAGATGATATTTTTCTTCCCTGAAAATCGTCATTATTTGTTTCTTCTTTTCTGCTTATTGTTCCCATGAAATTGCACAGATTTAAAGGCAATATTTCGTCAACAATTTTTCAATATAATTCTTTTTGTTATTAATCAGCAAGAAAATCG